GAATGAAGGGCAGTGGCAATGACGAACGCGGTGGGTTTGCTACTTGTACAGTCACCGCAGCAGCACCACCGACTAATGTCAACAAGACGCGGGCGGGCGGGCGGGCGGGCGCGCATCCCAATAGCCTCGCAATATTACATCACGCGTCACGGTGACGGGAACAAGGTGCTTCTCTGCCCACTCTCCACCGACGTAACAGTCATCATTGATATGCCCCATCGTCATTACATTGTCACGGGTGAGCCGTGAATATGTTAAATAACACTGGTCAACAAAAAGAAAACTTTTTTTTTTCTGGCCTGGACTTTTGCAGCTGTTTTAGACTAATTTCAGGGTGCTGATTCCAAATCTGATCTCAGATTTGTTCTATCACATCTCATTTTATGCTATCGGCATACCCTATTTTCATTGATTTTACCCGAAATTAACTCTGTCACGTATGATTGCAAGTTGTTGCGAGTCAGTGACTGCTTTAGTGTTAAAATATGGTGCTGTATTTTTAGGATAGTGTGTTTATAATATCATTTTATGTAGATATCCACATCTATTTAATATGTTACTTCTGCAGTTTTTATTGAAAATGCAATATTTGATATCTCAAAAACCTGATGTGATAGACAAAAACTGATGCCAGATTTGGAATCAGCACCGCAAAATTACCTTAAAACCCGTGGAATACCTTGTGCCAGAGAAAGTGTGTTGACCAATGTAATCGATGTATGGTTTCGTCCACCGTGATGATCGAAGCGGATTCTCGTGACGGAAGGCGTCACGCTGGCGGCTCTGTATAGTCCACGCGGCTCTGTATAGTCCACGCGGCTCTGTGTAGTCCACGCGGCGCTGTATAGTCCACGCGGCTCTGTGTAGTCCACGCGGCTCTGTATAGTCCACGCGGCTCTGTATAGTCCACGCGGCTCTGTATAGTCCATGCGGCTCTGTATAGTCCACGCGGCTCTGTATAGTCCACGCGGCTCTGTGTAGTCCACGCGGCGCTGTATAGTCCACGCGGCGCTGTATAGTCCACGCGGCGCTGTGGGGGCAGCGGCCAGGGTTGGTGGATGACGGACGTGTCGTGAAACTCTCTTCTGGTGGGTGTCGAGGTGCCAGTCCCCTGGCTCGCCGGGAGAAGGCGATACACCAAGAGGACTAATCGCCATCGGTTTCCATCTGTACTAGGGGATAGAGCGTTATCCCCTTGCACGCGTCAGTTTTCTCCGTGTGCTCCGGTTTCCTCGCACTTATATACACAAACAACTTAAAATTAAAAACAAATGCAGGACCCTCCTGCAAAAAAAGTGTTCTAATACTCAGTGTGGCTCTCCTGGATACATAAATAAAGCAATGTAATAACATCTACAATCATCCATTATATAATAACATCCATTATATAATAACATCCATTATATAATAACATCCATTATATAATAACATCTACAATCATCCATTATATAATAACATCCTTTATATAATAACATCTACAATCATCCATTTGTTCTCGAGCATGTGTGGTGAGTGTTAGCATTTACTTTGATTGATGAATCCATGCAGTGTAATAAACGTCATTGTGGAAAGTTAACCAAATCTAGCACTGCAAGCAATATAGTGAATGCATGAAGAGCGTTGTTTATTCCTTGTGGTCATAAATTACGAGGTTTTTTTACTCATGAATTTGTGTTTTTTTATGGGCAAACGGGGCTATCATATCATCTGGGCTAAATTATCAACCGGAGCTGTCCGGGGCTGAACTACAGAAAACATTTCATGTGACATTAAGCCTCGTATATTTATATCTTCATGTAAGTCTTCGTTCATTAATTACTTAATCAATTACATGTACGATATATATTTGGCTGAAATGTTAGTTTTCGGTGGTATCAAGTTGCATTGGCTCATAATCAGCAGCATCTGCTGCATCAGTAGTACAACCACCACCATTCCCACAATCACCATCATCGCCTCGCATTAGAATTAACAGCCACTGTGTCATCATCAGCGGCAGCAGGAGAAGCACATTAGCTCCAGCAACAGCAGCAATAATCCTGTATTATTATGAATGGGCCTGTAGCGAGCGTGTTAATTGTTGCACGTGACCTCAGCGTAGTGATGAAATCGTGCCGACATCCACGTCAGCCGAGTGTGGGAGGCGACGCGGGACGCTTGGGTGACTGCCGCTGCTCCTGCTGCTGCTCCTGCTGCTGCTGCTGCAAGGGCGGGTCGGGTGACCGGGCACGTGGCCGTCACCTGAGAACTCGGCTGGGAAGCACGAGACGGGCAGAGCCACCACGTCCACCACGTCCATCACGTCCACCACGTGCACCACGTGCCTTTTGGTGCACTCTGCTTTATTTATACGGGTCTGCGTGGAAGGGCAGTGGGAATGGGGTCAGGCTGCAAATGCTCGTATGAATTCCCTGTATCGCACGCACAACCGCACAGATAACGATGGCAAATCGTGGCGATGACAAGTCATTATCAGCAGCAGCCGTAGACAATCTACTGTTGTTATAATGCCGTCACCACGATGCGACCATGTAACAAAAACACAGATCCCCCGTATAGCCTTGAAAGACTGTTGGGGCAATGTTGGCAAGCACGATGTCACAATCCACCTGCCCACCAGTTGATCTCATGGCTCCACCTCATCGGCGGACTGCCTCTGGGACGCGTTCCATTTCTCATAGCTGCCACTCTGTCGGGTTTCTTAACCAGAGCCCCAACTTGCCCAGACGTGCCCTGCCAAAGCCATTTACCTGCCTGCGTGTGTTCTCGAAGTCACGTGTTCCTCTTCTTCTCTCTCAACCAGAAAAAATAGATTTCATAAAACAAACATCTCAATAATAAATCCTATCAACAATGAAACGCGTAGTATTATCATTCGCTGTGATGTCTTCACACTGAAACGCATTGTTGCAAGATTGTTTTTGTTATTTATAATCGCAATAACCATCATACATAGTAATCACGACCGCTGCCACCATCCAAACAGGACATGAATCAATCTGGGAGTGGCGTGGCACGTCTGTCACATGGCTCGGAGGAGGCTTAGAGGAAGCTGGGGCTGGTGGATAATATAAAGATTTGTGAAACTCCCAGACCTGCTTGACTGCTGATTATCCAGGAGATGGCAGTACAGCAAGCGAGTTCTTGAAAATACTTTCGCAGAACTTTGTAATTTATAACGTTTGTTTTCGTTTATGTTTTTATTTGCTATTATATAGAGATTCATATTCATTTGCATCGCACAATCACCGAGGAACCAGAGACATGTTGAAAAGCAGCCAGGCGGTGAGCTGGCGCCAAACGTTTGCCCAAGCTCTGAGGTCCTCTATATTAAGATGTTTCATACAGTACTACGCTGTTTTCAGTCGGTTAATCTCAGTTTACACGTGCCCGCGTTTGCGTGGGGTTCCTTTTGGTAAATATAATCACAGGCGTGATCTCTATCATGTGAACATTATCGACAGCATTCTCACCTCCAAGAATGACCGGTGTTGCCGTATTCTCTGTTAATGTTAAAATCAACCCCCACGAACGCATTTTAAAGCAAAAGTTAGAGGTGCCTCTTACAATCCGGTAACTGTGCGTGTGTGTGGCCAGAATTGTATCGCTGTATTGACACAGGGCGTACTTTTACCGTGCGTCTTACTTTCCAGAGCGTCGTTTAATCCGGAGATGGAGACAGCATCTCGAGTGGACGTCTCGTCGTCTCACGCGGCGCGTGGGGAGTCGTTTTGTTTGCTCTGACGCCGCGACGTCTCGCCTCTTCACCGGCCCACCAGCTTGACGTGGCGCAGGAGCTCCCGTGCCCTGGGTCTCTCAGGGCATCAGCTCCCAACCAGGCGGCAGCACAGACGACAGCGGGGCGAAGTATGCGCAAAACAACCGCAACTCCGCCACGACTAACAACGTCCTCATCCAGCAGTGGACTGGTCGAGGCTGCTGCTGCTGCTGCTGATGATGAAGGGCAAGTGGTGTGTTGCTGGCGATTCTCAAGCTATGGCTGGGAGAGGCAGGAGAGGGTTTCGCGCTCTTTGTTGATCATCGGTGCGGTCGCCGCTCGCCTCGCGGGCCCTGCGGGGCGCCTGTCCACGTTTCATCGTCAACGTTCTCGTTTGTTTAACCAGGTGGGAACTCGGGTAGACCAGGACAAGAAGTCTCGACCTGCAAGAGTGATCCGGGTCACCGATGTCACAACACGAATCCAGTGCATAAGATCATTGTCGCGGAGCGAAGACAAAACTGCGGCCACGCGGAAAACGGGAAATTAAAGTGCACAAAGGTCGACGAAGGTCGAATAACTCTTGCCCTGAAGCGTAAGTCGGCTCGGCCAGACATGTTTTATTGTTTCACTTAATCATAGTACAACTACAAATTAAGTTACAAAAACATTAAACGGATGTATTGTGGTGACAACACACGCGTCACGTGCAAGAAGGCCCCTCTCGTGCGAGGCTGCTGGCAGGTTCGAATTAATGAGCGAGCGGAGAGATTTTTTTTGTTCGAATTCTGTAAAAATAAAAAAGGAAACCCTCCACGCGTCAAGAGCCGCAGTGGCACGCGCGAAGGCGGCGGGGGTCCTCCAGGAATCCGACGGCTCGAAGCGGTCCCTCGAGAGGCGCGCGGGTTGGCGACCCATGAGCCAGCCACTATCCCACCACGCGTGCTGCAGCTGGCGTCGCTCCAAAGACAAAGATCCCCCGTGTAGCCTTTACAGCCTGCTGGGGGCAAGTGCTGTCAGCGAGCAGCACACGAGGCGGGGCTTGGGTAAAGCCAGCAACCACGCCCGGCCGCCTTCGTTTCCCCCCAGTGGCGACGTTTACACACCGCACCAGGTACAGCAACTCATTTGAGGCTGAGTAGACCTAAGCGAGTCCCGGGACGAGGCTCAGTTCATCGTCAGCGGCCCACCCCCACCACCCTCACCGACCGATGGCTCCTCCCCTGGCCCTCCCCCCTCCTCCCCCTTCCTCTGCCGAGGCTATAAGAGCAGAAACGGGAATGCACATTCGCGTACAGCGCATCACTGCGACAGGAGCCGCGAGCGGGCAAGCGCAGTCCCCTGTCTCTGCCGCTCTCTATCTGTGTCTGTGTGTGTCTGTGTGCGCGCACCACAGCTGCCATTTAGAGATAGTGGATAGCAGCATTGTTCCAAACGAGCACTGCGAGTTCATTACAAAGTGACAGCTTGAATTGCCTTCGCGTGGCGTCTTGGTTGTGGATGCTGGCAGTTCGGCTGCGCTGCCGGCGAAATCGTCGCACGCTCATCCAGCCGAGAGCTTGGCGAAGTTCGAAAGAAGGTTACATTTTTGGGTCGGCGAGACGAGTAATCGTACGATAGAAGAGGAAGAAAACCAAGTAGGCTCCGAAGACCGGACAGCTTCAAAGAAGTAACGACAGGAATTTCACAAATACAGAAGACTTTCAATGTGTGAAGATCGCTGCTGGGAGCACGCAGGATTCTAACCGCGGTAATCAATGTTATCCTTGGAGGGTCATCATAATCACAGCTACCAGCAGCAGCAACAGCAGCAACAACACCATCACCACCACCACCATCATCACCACCCGGAGGGACACGTGCTGTCGGAAGGGAACATGCAGGCGACGCGGTTCGTGCTCTTCCTCGTCGTGTACGTGACGCCGGTGTTGCAGGTGAGGAGGAGGAGGAGAGGCCCCCAGCGGGGCTGCTGCCAGCGGCATTCGTTTAACAAGACCGACTCGTGCTGATGAGACCCAGGAGGTCGAAACCGGTGCGGAGTTGGCTCGCTGAAACACGTGCTGCTGGATATTGTGCGTGGTGTGGAAAGCCTCTGTATGGGGCTAAATGATGGACGCAGAAAGAAATTCGGTTCATCTATGCTCTTGTACAATATGCGATGTATACAGTCTAAAACTAGGGTGATCGATTCATATACCGTATACTGTATTGTAACATACCCCACTAAAGTAACCTAAATGTCGCTAAGCCTCTACGTGTCTCCAACCAATCACAATACAGGAATACGCGAATTCAAATTTGCAACACTCTGTAAGATATGGAGCCAACCGCTTTCACATTAACCTAATTGAACTCCGTGTTCAAAATAGAGTAATGAGAAACCGGTCGGGTATGTATAAATGGACCACGTTGTACAATAGCACTCGGTGATTGTTAAGCCGTTCACTTTTGAGAGTTTCCATTGGAGGCTAAGCGATCCGACTCGCTAAAGACAAGAGCAGACGTAGAGTCAAATCTGTTTCGCAGCTGGAATGGTGGGCCCCACGTCGTTATTCTTTAGCACGGTATCGGTGGGAGATCGTGACTTGGTGAGTGCGTGAGTGAGTGAATGATGTCGACGGGGCCAGGGAACTGAAATGTGGCACTTGTGGCAGAGCCATTTGTTGTAACTAGAAACATCCAAATACAGTTTTGGCATTTCCCAATTTGGGTCACCCAAAAACTGTTGTCTGGAAGTTGACTGCTTTCACACGTTTGAGGCAGAGGCAGCTTTGAGCGCTGCATTACTATAAGCCCCGTGCTAAACACACACCTGGAAATATAGATGCGGTCTCCCTTAATCGGTCATCGTCATCAGCACCCATGATCAATCCACTGCTGGATGAAGGCCTCCCCAAGCCGCCGCCGCATCTTACGATCTTGCGATGCAACAATCCATCCGACACCTGCACATCAACCGATTTCATCGCTCCATCATCATCATCATCTCTTCATCGCTCCACCAACACCATCTCCTCCCCGTCATCCTCGGTGCGTGTCCCCTCGTACGCGTGGCATACTCGGTGAACCGAGTAACTCGTCTCCTTTGGAGTATAACCCACTGAAGGTTGGCTGGCGAATCCCACTGCCGGTGAATTTGTTGAGTAGCACAGAGACGATGGTTAGATGAGACTCCCAGCTGCATCTCTGGGACGGAGTGTGCTGTGCTGAACTGGAGCTGGTTAGTCGGTTGCGCTGCCATCCCTAGTCCACAGGCCAGAGCAGAAATCAGTGCCACCTGATTTCTGCTCTGGTATCGACAACATCATTATAAGCATCCATTTATTTACACGGCTGATAAGAGCGAATTACTTGATAATCCCACTGGCTTTGAGCGGTCCTTACGTTAATTAATTGTTAATTAATGCCAGCTTCAGGAGGTACCAACAAGTGGAATGTCTAGTCTGGGCTCACAGGACATTCATTTTCTCCACCGTCATAACCCAGTTTGCAAGATTAGACCGGGTTTTTTTCAATTCTCACAGCAACCACGGGATATTGAACAAAGTGACGACAAAAAATATATTTGCTGAAGCTAGGTCGATAAAAAAAATTGGGTCTCTCAGGACTCCTACAGTGAAAAAACAACGGGATCCTGTAATTAATTAGGTTGCGTGTGAGCCCTTCATTGGCGTGGATCCATGCCGGCGTTTGTCAATAAATTAATAATTTAGTGTTTTACTGCTTCTTATCACGCGTTATCACGTGCTATTTAAATCAATGTCAACTTCCAATTCAACGGTGGGTTGAGTGAAGGTTCCCTTAGGCTCCCAGTAACATCGCACACTTCATGGACAGCAGAAGCCGCAGCCATGACCAATCCACTGCTGGATGAAGGTCTCCCCAATCCCGTCCCTGCCATCTCTCACGGCCCTGCGATGTCACAATCCCACAATTACGTGTCCTAAAATTACATACCCTGGAAAGGGCCCAGCAATACCGAAACGTCTATCGTTTTTTTTTCTTTTTAAACAGAATAAGCATGTAACCTCAATCGATATACCATCACTGGACAATCCACATAGTAACCAATGTGTATTTTTCCACACACACACATATACATAATGGGGAGTGGTGGTGCAGTGGTTAGCGCACTGCCCGACGAACCCGGCCTCCCAAGTTCGATTCCCGCTCACGGCTACCAATACGAGTGACGATTATCTGCACCGGTCCTGAGCCTCCCCTAGGTCGACTCAGCTTCAAATGAGTACCTGGTGCGGTGTGTAAACATCGCCACTGGGGAGACAAATGCGGATGGGCGTGGTGCTGGCCACCCACCGTGCCGGCCGTCATAGACGCTCGCTAACAGAACTTGCCCCAACAGTTTGTTCAGGCTCTGAACAGAGCTTTCTCAATTGATTGATTTGATAGGACACACGTTGGCATCTGACTTAAACCCAGACATCCATCATGTATCATTGCGTATATGCGTATTTAAAAGTAGTAAGTTGTTATCTGCTCAAAGGGAACTTTATACAGCGCTGTTGAGGGTTTTACGATTGTGTGAGGTGTGCCCGGGGGCTACGTGCCGGGAGGAACGTAGCCGCTGAGCACCGCACGACGTGGCGTGCGGCGCCTCCTCCTCCTCCTCACCCGCTCTTACCGCGCTCAATGCGGGGACTGCAGTGCAGTTCGCGTGCTCTCCGCCAGGCGGCGATTATCGTAAAGCGGCCACAGGGGACGCATTTATCGCTCTGGTGTGAGTGACTCAGCCTCAAATCAGTACCTGGTGCGGTGTGTTAAATATCGATACTCGGGAGACAAAGGCGGCCGGGCATGGTGCTGACCACCCACCCACTCGTGTGCCGTGCCGGCCTGCATAGCTACTCGCTGACAGCACTTGCCCCAACAGTCTGTTAAAGGCTATAGGGGGATCTTTGTCTTTGCTCTGCTATGAATGAGGGCCATTACCTGAAATGTTGCCAGATACTTTATGTGAATATATTGTTTCGAAGACTTTGTGTGTTTTTATCGTGTGCACTGCTGCCAATGTAGTTATATCGTTTTTTTAAATGTAATTTAAGAGATAGATAACATGTAATAACCAGGGAATTCCCCCCAAGCCTTGGTGGCTAGCTATCATTCGGCATTGGGCTGTACGGCGCGTGTGTTATTAGCGACTCTGTGTTGCAAAGTTCACGGCAATACAACTTCTAAGTGCTGATCGATTAAACACTTTTTTTACAACTTTGATTGTAAAGATATCTCTCAAGATCTAAACGTTTAACCCATCATTAGCCTACTTGCTGTACTGACCTGTGCAATCACAATCACCCTATGACAATCAAAGTCTACAGACAGTGTAATTGCTGCGATCAGCTTTGTGTGTGTGCTTTTTTACACCCCTGGGAGTGGCAGGAACTGCTTGGGAAAGTATTGTGTGCACGTATGTAGAACTTCTTTCGCACCGTACATAGTAGCCAACGGCGCTAATCGGGGGTGCGGGGTAAAGGCAACACACTCAACACAAACAGCAGCTCGAAAGAAATGGATTTTCAATCTCGATTTAAAAAAAGAGTTTTCCATGAGCGGTGTTCAGCCACACCTGGTATTGATTTTTCCACTGCGGGGTGCTCAGCCACACCTGGTGTGTTGGGAAATGCTTTGCGAGTAAAAGATAAAGGTGCAGCCCTCACATCTCTCGCTCAGCAGGACCAGCAGGACGTCGAGGAGACTGTAGGGTGCCCCCTCTACGGGGGACCTTGCCTCCTGCTCCACGCTGGCCAAGATGTCTCGGACGAGGTGGGAGGACCCACACGTTTATGTCCGGGAACTCGCTTTGGTAGACAGAGGGGATCTTCACGCCGTGACGTAAAGGCTTTCTCCTAATCGTCATTTTAGATACAATGTGCACCCACAGTGGGAACTTGGAATTCCCACCGCTGGCTCGGGGCCACTAACGGAAATGAGCGTCACCCCTTTGCTCGGATCGCCACGAGACACTTTCGCTTAATTCATGAGAAGCGTCTTTTATTATAATAATAATAATACATCGCACGACAGGTCTCCAACGCGTTTTTGGGTGGTACCGCGCACCGTTCGGCATGAGGTCCGACGTTTTGTTCCACGCACCGGGCGCTTCTTGAGGTTCCGAAAGCGCAGGACATCCTGCCGAACGCAAGCGTGCGCGGTGACGCGAGAGATGCTGAACAATGCATCGCGTGCCAGAGGGGCCGGGTTGCGGGTGGGGGGCCGCGGGGGTGGGGGGGGGGGATTGCAACGGTGACGTGACCTGGGCAAGCCCAACCACGGCGAGGGGGGAGGGACGAGACGGCTCAGCGTGGCGAGTGCGCTGTGGCGGCTGCCAGCATTGGTGACCGCAACTGTGACATTTTGACAGATTGGGGAGGATGTCGTTGTCACCGAGTTCAGAACATCGCGCTGACCGAGTTGTAAATGTGGAAGGTGGCTGAAAAAACTTCTGCTTGGGTATTTTTTTCGTTCCTCTGAATTTCATTCCCAGAGCCGGTGTGTAGACAAAGCGGGCGTAATCAAATAACGCCCCACGCGGTCTTTATTTTCGCCAGACACAATAGCGAGCACCCTGTAATCACCTGCGTTGGCCTCCGCGAGCTGTGGAAATTTACCAAACCCCTGCAGGCCGACCGCTTCCCGCCACTCTCTCGCACGCCGCTCGACCCCCAGCCCGACCACGCCGCATCTCCTGCGCCGTGCCGTGCCTGAACACAGCCCCCTTCTTCACAGCCCGGCCATTTCCCCGTTGCCTTCTCTGCCATTCACGCATAGATCGGGAGTCGGCCAGGGTGAGAGACCACGCTGAGATAATGGCTCTCGATTAACGGGGAGAATACAGCGCATCGTGGCAGAGCGTTTCACATTGCCCCGGGCTCATTTGAGCTGAGATCAATGTTGGTTTTATCTGTGCTTTCTTTATATTTTGTATGCCATTTTTTTTAGCTTTTAGGTAATCAAAAGTCCCTCTGTCCTAATTAAAAATACATTTTTCTTTTGTAAACCACTGCCAAACATTTCAGGATTTGGGTTCGACAAGAAGTCTGTTGCGGTTGCCGTCAGTGGCATAGCGTGGTTGGCATGGGACCTGGTGGTGGTGCAAGAAATGAATGAAATGGGAGGGGGGCCGGGGGGGGATGAGGGTGGTAGAAGGGGGGGCCATGTCTAATTCTCGCCCCACCCACCTAGCCACCTCAGGCTCTTGGTAGCCCAGTGGCTGGGCCCCCGCTAGCCGTGTGACCCAGGGCAGTCGCACCGTCTGCGTGCTCTCGATAGCTACGCCACTCGTTGCCATGCAGGGAATTTTGCAAGCCTTTGTCGATTTGCTGCGTGAATACAATTGTGTGGGGGGAGGTGTTTAAAGTGCTGCGATTTCGCCTATGTGCGATATGCTGCAGATGGGGAAATGAAATGCAGGGCAGTCGTTTTGTGATTGGAGGTGGTTTAAGTGATCCCTTTTTTCTCTCTCTGTATTTTTCAGGCCAAGAGCCTCGCATCTCGCCGTTCAGTAGAAGGTAAATCTCTCCACATTACGCGCCGTGTTGTGATACAGTCACCTCTGCCTATTCACCGCAAGATGAAATGCCTCGCCTCCCACACGGGAGGGGAGTTAGTCGTTTGACCAAACCTCGCCACGCTGGTCGGTGCGGACTGGTGAAGGCGGGGGAGGCCGGAACTTTTGAACGTCGCCGTTCATCGGAGTTGCCCGCAGCCTGTAAGATGCCAAACGGCGCCGGCCTGTTTGGGCACCAGGGTGACCGTAATCGCCGAGACGAACAGCAGTAGCTTCAAGTGGAAAAATCTACTTTTATGTTAAATTAACCGTGGATATTGGAATTGTAAACATTCGAAACGCACTTTTAAGGAGGGTTGGGTGTGCCTCAACGTGTCCTAAGCGCCCCCGGTTGGGCGAATTGAATATCGTTTTGTAATTTTTAAAACCTGGCATAATACATTTTTTGCGCGCAAGCAATGTCGCGTACAAACGAACACGTGCACATCTAACACAAACGACAAACAGCAACAGCAGCAGGTTGGCGATAATGACGGTGTGGTGTAAAACATATATAATGCTCATTCACTATATTGGCATGTGTCAACATTTTCTTTAGCGGTAACGCAGAGGGTCAGGGACGTGCAGTGTACCTTTGACCTCAATGTCACATGCTCAAGCCGTGTGTAAGTTGGTAGGCTGAACTCCTAAAGAATGTTAATTGTGTTGTAAATTCACAGGAATTTGCACAATATTCTTCTTTCAAGCTTAACCAGAGAGTTGTAGAAGGTTATTGAGCCAACTGGGGGCTGTGAACCACAACGGTGGAGGTCGGTATATGCCCGGTCATCTCATACAGGTTCATTCTATTCAGTGTAGTCGAGCAGGGGGCGCCTGTGAAGTCGTGAGTTGACTCGGGGCCCCATCGTCCCTCCCAGGGTCAATAACATGAGCAGCACCTGTTGTGAGGCGCACTCAGCGGGGTCACGCCCGCAGTGGCTTTCCTCATGAGAGCTGGAACCATCATCAGTAGCCATTACCCATCATCATCACCATCAGCAACCATCATCTCTCTGGGGTTTGTCACGTGAGCCCCCCTGGATAAACAGATCGCTACCGTAGGATCATGGAGGTCTGGGCCACCAACAGAGCAGGGCTCGGCCCAATTGCTGCGTTACACACAGACACACTTGGACTGCTGACCACGTTTGAGCACCCACGCGCGACCGCACGCACGCAACACGCACGCAGCACGCGTTCTGACGCACACACTAACGTCCGCGTGCGTGCCCCGTGGCGTGGAAAGCAGTGGTGCCGCTGGAGCGGGTGATGGAGCGGAGCGCGTGCATGCCCCGCGAGACGCTCGTGAGCGTCTCCACGGAGTACCCGGGGGACACGGACATCCGCTACCACCCGTCCTGCGTCGCCATCATGCGCTGCTCCGGCTGCTGCAATGACGAGACGCTCGAGTGCCTTCCCACGGCCAAGTCCAACGTCACACTCGAGGTGAGCCTCGCCGGCGCCGTGCTACAAACCCGGCGGACGCGAGTTCTATTCCCGCTCACCACTCTCAGCTATTTAAACTAAACTAGTTTTTTATTGTCGCACAGGGTGAGACCCTCTGAGCTACATCGCTCTTTGTCAGCAGCGACCTGGCGATCACAAACGATCGCCATCTCCACAAACGCACGGCCACCTTTGTACCTCCAGGATTCGATCTCGCCACCCTTCCTCGCTCACTCTGCCGTCGAGCCACTTGACCGACGAGTCCATTTCCTGGAGAGCAGCGACGACGAGGGAGTCGCCGGGGTGGTGCAGCGCGACTGGCCGCCAGGCCGGAGGCTCGAGACGTGTGACACGTGCATCCCCACACCCTCGCCGCCAACCTTGAACTCTGCCCACGAGTGGACGGTTCCCGGTGGCACACGAGACAAGCAAATATTGGTCCTGGTCCCAGTGTTTGAAATTCCAAAGTAGCACGCGCACGCGCTCACGGGCTCACGCGCTCACACACACGGCGGCGTCCGGCAGACCGCGTTGCGGCGCCGCGGCGTCTCCACAAGCACGACGATTGTAATCTTCTACGCGAAGCGAATTGTTTTCATTGACATCATACCACGGGTACAGTAGAAGGTGAATTCTGAGCGCACCCCGGACCTGAGCAGCGCGTCGTCACGTCAACGCCGGCGGGGGGATGCAAAGGGGAATTCTGATACGCGCACGCTACTTTGCATAGAAGCACTCGCCACGGCCGTGCTCCCCTTATGTCCAGCTCGCTATTTCCTAAACACTCCATCTGCTCTACTGGAGTGAAAATATTGCTCTTTGAAGTGCGTTTTTACGTAAATAAATCACCTCTACGGTTATAATTACTCGAGGTAAACCCCCTGGTCTGGTAACGGTATATTGTATTTCGCATGACCGTGATCTTTGACCTGCATTGGCATAACCATGCCATATAAACCTGTTAAGCATTACATCTGAGCAATATGAGCGTAATGGTACGAATAATAATACTATTTTCAATGAAAGCCCTACGTCAATCCACTGCTGCATGAAAGCCTCCCAATGGCATGTCAGTCGTGGTAATTGTCCGACTATACTTCACCCCGCTGGTCAGTGGTGGGGAGGGTGTGGGGGGAGGGGGGCTCAGGCCCGGTTCGGCTGTAACTCGCCACTGATGGTGGGCATGGCCGGTCGTCAATTTGGGGTCACTGGGTTCTTTGCGCAGCAGCACGCTAACCACTGTGCCCATGTTTCACCCCAGCCTATTAATAGCGGAAAATGTCCCTTGCGACCATCACGTGAGGTTTAAACGAGCTAATAAAAAGCATGACCTTACATCCGTCTAAACAAACGAATCTTAAAATATTTCCTCACCCAAGCTCAAACTGTTTGGCTCACTGGAATGGGTTCCACGAGTTTGGCAGCTACAAGGGGCAAAATCTAAGAGCAGATGATGGGAAAAACTCTTCGGGAAGATCTTTGAGGTCGCGCGTCGACTGCGCAGAAGGTAGACCACGATGCACCAGCGAGGTTTGGTGGCGTTCATGGATTTGACCGTGACGGCATTTGATCTTTGGACGCTCCGTAGCAGGGCAGGTTCCACGCATGCTTTGTTCAACCCGGCGAGAGCTCGCGATGTAGTGAGAGCCCCATTTGCAAGAGGGACGTGGGTCACCAAAATGGTAAAACCAATCGCTTTAAACAAACTGGTTCCGTTCCTGAGACCCGTTCGGAATTGGAACGGTTCGTAAGTCGGAACAGAATAATCTACTATATTTAAATGCACATATGGTCAGTGTTACGAAATTTGTTCAGTCGAAGACTGCCCGTACAATAAAATAAGCAAAGGACTACCAAATGGGAATGAGAGTTGCAAATGAGCTAAACGCAGCTCAGTAGAGTTGCCTCATATCAAGAATGCAAAGACCCGTGCTGTGTTCGTGGCTGTGGCAGCAACAATGCGTTGTCCTCGCTTCGTGGTGACAAGCGGCCGTGCCCGCTGTGTGCTTCTTGCCTGTTGCAGGTCTTCAAATTAAACGTTTTCCACAGCGGAGGCAAAGAGCAGATGTCCTTCACCCAACACGACAGTTGCAAGTGCGGGTGAGTAGTCGGCACCGCCGGCTCTGCGCTAGACACAACACGGCGTGCCCGCTTCCTCACGGCCATTGCGCTTTTCAGACGAGATAAATGAGTATACACGGTGAGCGATTCACAGCGGCCCTACTGATTTCGAATCACCCTCTTACCCTCTTTCTTATGGACAAATGGTTGAATATTGTGAAAGCGATGATTAGATATTGTAGAGGGGGCATTGATAAAGGATTTAATGGGTGAATTATTGCGATTTTGTGTGGGAGATGTCAAGGCTTTGAAAGTAAATCTTGTTTTTTTCTCTAATATTATCACTGGTATTTTAGTGGGGCATCTATGAATGGATCGCCATGCACACTCTCGCTGACATGTATTAATACTCTCTCTCTCAATGCTGGCCACAGTGCCACTTACTAAACTGCTTTCGTTTCCATGACTCAAAAGCCCCCAGGCCATGCTAGTGCTAGGCACTGTAATAGGTACACATGCACATTAACTAAAGATTGAACGTAAGCTAACGAAGGCAATAAACTTGAGTAAAAAGTTAAAGGTGCAATCCTGCAATTGCTTAGTCACTGCCACTGCTGCAGAAGAGTCTCCACTACAGAGAGCTCGAGAGGAGCCCCTCTGGATAATATTTGGCCTAATCTTCCGCAACGGTCAAAAGTCTTGTAATAGGTGGGCGTACCCACACTTCATCCCACCACATGTCACCTGCCGATCGACTAACTGCGGCTGTGCCCATTTACACCGCTGGCTGACGGAGGCGGTGGTCGGGGGATCTCAGAAACTTTGACCGTCGCTTCAACAGCTGCGCCAGGGGAGATGGAACCGACGATGTCTGGGCCGCTAGCCCGGTGTGCCGACTATTAGAACTCCGGCAGCGTCCCGAATATGTCACGGACCACACCGCTGGGGGGGGAAAAGCCGTCATCTAGCAGTGGATAAAGCATGGCTGGTTTCACTTCATTTTAATTAAGTGCAGTCAGTGTGAAAGCGGCTGATGACAGCAGCTGTGAAGACGACGACGATGATGATGATGATGATTATTTGTGAACCGTGACCCCCCTCCCCCCCCCCGTGCGAGAGATTATTTTCGAGCGTTTGAGTTCACGTCTTTTTGCCGTCCGTCTGCTCCGTGCTTTGTAGGTGCAGGCCCTGCTCGGGACCGCGGTTACAACAGGACCCCGACACCTGCAGGTGCAGCTGCCGCACGGTGTGCAAACACAAGCTCCAGCTCAATAAACACACCTGCAAGTGAGTGTCTGCGTGGGGCGCAGAGCAGTTTTTGTGAGCAGCATCTCCTTACCAAGTTCTGCATTATCGCCAGAGCCAGGCGATTCCTAGGGAAACAATGTTAGTCTCCTGGCAATTCCCATGTAAAAATGTTTACATTCGTGTGGATGGAATGCCACAGTCGATTCAACAATACCGAGCCCCCGACCCCTGCATCTGCAATGCATCGTCAGCATCATAATCATCATTAGCCATGGTTAATCCACTGCTGGATGAAGGCCTCAATTCACGTCGAAGCTCTTGTTTAAAGGATTCGTGCACTGGAATGGTATTCTTTTGCAAACTTAGCTTAGCTAAGCTCTGCTTGCAATGCTTAGCTTAGCTTAAAAAAGTCTGCGCTCAGCAACTGTGATAAAAAAAAACCACAACACAACAACAGGAGTAGTATCATAAATGAACATTCGTCATCGTTACACTCAAATAGCACTAATCACTCTCCTAGGACTCCACCTCCCAGCGCACCTTAGCATGATATCAACATTACTATACGGGTTTTCTCCCCGTGACTTTTCATCCTTGGCAGCGAGGTCCATGTAAGGCTCAGATTGGCGCAAAACTTTTTCTCATATATATAACAAAATGCATTCCTACATTGCTGCAGAGACAAAACTAGTTATTTTTCTTTGTGAAGTCCCCAGGTGGTTTGTTGGCGCTACCTGGCACTCTTCTCGTTCATTGGCCATTGTTGCTGACAGTTTATTGACACTGCTCAAGGCCACGTGGCCTCTTTTCAACCAAACACGACACATATACATGAATTCACTTTGAGATTATTATCTACACTGGTTTATTACCTACACTAATAGGAAGATCGTGTCCATGCCGGTATGGTTATTAATATAGCTCTCTCACCTGAAGACGATTGCCTGTATTGCGATCGAAACGTCGTGATCTATTATTTTTCTATTTACGTGACTTTACCAAAAGACCCAAATAGTGTAATATACTGTAGTTAATCATATGGAAGTTGCTCCAATGAAAGTGTGCATTGTAGTGCTTTCAAGCTATTTAGTTTGTGAACAAGTCACTTTATTCACAATTCAATCACAAACAAATTAAAGATCACGTCTCTCCACGACAGGGCCTAACCTTCATTGCGCCCTCTCTCTCCCAGGTGTGAAAAGCCACGGAGGTGATGGATGCTCAACACGGAGCTTCTGAAAGCGTTTGGCTCAACAGCATCTGCAACACATCGTCAGCATCATCATCGTCATCTTGGTTAATCCACTGCTGGATGAAGGCCTCCCCCAGGCCGCCGCCAGTGCGACTTCTTAATTGACGCCGGAGCTCAGAGAAGATGAGGCCACTTGGATCCTTCCCCAGTCCCGGCACTGCTGCAGGCCAGCGGACTCCAGAGTGATCTTGTTTACAGCCCATCACGGTGGCCACAGACATGATTACAGAAAAGCCTTGTAAAAAGTTTTGTGTATGTATCAGCAAATGAGGTGTGCCCTCGGGGATTTTTGGACAGGACCATGTGTATTGATGAACGTAATCTTTTACGACAACCTTGAAGCCTGGAATTGATTGGAGAGTTGTGTAAGTGTGGTTGGCTACTTACGGTGCGAAAGAAGCTCAACGTCCCTACAACTGGTGAAAGGTTTCTGCTTTTCGTCATCCCTGAACACATTGGAATCGAAGGAACCAAAATGTAAAACTGCGTCGTCGTCGGTGGGAAGTTGACTCGTGTTGTGGTTTTCGAACCTGTTGTGGACACAGACGTGACACGTGGGAGTGTGTGTTTTGTGTGGAGCGAGTCGTATCAGTGGTTGAGTGCAGGAAAATGAGACATCGGGGTGGGGGGAAGTTTGCACAGCAGCAGCAGCACATCTTTTGGAGTTTAACGCTTCAATGAAAATAATATGGTTGACAACTAACAAAATAACCTACTTAGAGGCATTTTTGTTTATCTGTCAGCGCAATGAGAAATACATTTTAACAGTATTTTAATAAGTACAAACAAAAAGAAAGCACTTGGAAAAGAAGCAATAATAAAATGTACACGAGTTTTTTTGTTACGATACAGAAAATCTAATCTACGATTGATAGTGTTCAGCAGAATGCGTGGCAAGGTGACCCATGCCACGCTTGAGACCAGTCTTGCCAGAGACCATCACTGTGGCGAAAAACCTTGAGACAAGGCCTTTGAATAAAAAGCTGAAGTCGAGAGCAATTGCATTCCTTTCAGCGGGCTGGGCTTACAGATGCAATCTGTAAAAGTTGCTTTAACCAATACACTTGTTACTGAAAAAGAATAATCCATCCATCACAAAAGTAATGATTGATGCATTCAAATTATACAACAACTATACACGTCTCTTGTATATACTCTACTGTGGAAAACGAGGAATGTCACCCAAAAAGTGTGTAGTTGTGCGGGGCAACTGCTGTTTTAACATCACACATTTCAGTTCACTCTAAACCTCTATAATTGGTCACGACCATGGCTCTCTGGGGTAGTATTTAGAAAGCTATGCCAGCTGACTTCTCTGAAATGGAACAAATTTTAACACTTCTATTTGATGGACTGCCAACAATGCCCCATGTCTCGTTTCTAATAATAATATAAGTACAATACGGTATAAATGTTTGATTTTTGAATGGGCATTTATTGTTCATCGTGGAGGCAATACAACTAATACTTTCGTTAAAAAGTTGTTTTTTTATTCTTGAAACATATGGTAGGATATTACGGCCTCATGACATTTTTTTAAAAAATATCTCCGTTGTATTTAGTTTTATGCAGCTTCTTCTGATGCTGGACCAGAATTAATAAGTAAATGGTTTATTCTCATGCGTATTTGTACTTGTGAGATTTACCAACATCAGATAACTTTACAGGCACTTTTTTCCAGAGATACGATGTGTTGTCATGTGTAAACATTCTAGTATTTATTTTATCTGTATTTAAGGCAATATTTATAAACACAACTAAATTTCGTTACCACATTGTAATTAAAACATGTAAGTTATTTATATATTTTTTAAAAATATCAAGTTTCATAAAACACGTGAACCGTATGTACTGTTTTATGCATTTCAAAAAAGTGGGACTTGAAATACATTATTTCTAAAGTCGGTGGTTTGAGTATATATTTGAAAGTGTGTGCATGTGCATCCGATACTTCAATGTTCCAGGGTTTAACGTCATTGCAGGCCATTATATTGGATACGACTGAAAACATAAGAGATCTTTCATATCACATCAAATGTCTGTGAGTGAACACACACTTGTAGATGTATGTAGAGACATTCTAAGGCGTGGTGACGCGGTGGCACAGACGGTAGCTCACGTATTGCACTATGAGCCTGGTGGCCTCGGCTCGCAGTGGCAAGATAAAGCTCAACTTGTCCTTGGGCACGCCCTTCACCAAAGACAAAGGTCCCCCGCGTAGCCTTAAAATATGCTGTAGGGGCAAGTGCTGTCATCGAGCACCTATGAAGGCCGGCACGGCACACGAGGGGGTGGGCGGCCAGCACCGCACCCGACCGCCTTTGTCTCCTCAGTGGCGATGTTTGTACACACCGCACCAGGTACTCATTTGAGGCTGAGTCGCCCTAGGAGAGGCCCCCGATTGCTTCCTGGTTCAGATTATCGTCACTGGTGTTGGCCGTGAGCGAGATTTGAACTCGGGTCCCTAGGTTCATAGCGCAGCTATGGAGCTTCGTGACTAACATACCGTGGTGGAGAGTTCTTCATCCAGCAGTGAATGGGCAAAGGGATGTTAATACAACTCAACAACTTTCACCAGGTAAGGCCCACTGAGCTATATAGCTCTTCTTCAGAAGCGACCTGGCCACCACAAATGATCGCCCAACAAATTGGCTTATTGTGTGGACATTTCTAGCCGCCAAATACTCTAAACGAACGTTGATTCTAAATGTGGAGGGGAAAACCGGAGGACCCGGAGAAGAATCCACCCGAGCAGGTGGAGACCATACAGATTCTAAGGCGTCAGGGTCGGAAGCGAACCCATGACTCCTGCATACCAGGCGAGGTAGTTATCTTGAAAACACATTGTCACAATAGATCAAGTCAAATCAAAGTTTAACTTCTCAAGTGAATGTGGAACAACCCTTATTCTCAATTGGTGGGCCTCAGCCAGTGGTGGAAATTTCACGTTCGTATGGCAGAGACCTGTCTATCCACAGGACAAAGGCTGGCGCCAGTCCAAAGTGGGGCATTATTTAAAGATGATGGTATTTTACACATCCCTCCTGCACATTATGGGATGCTGATGATTGTTTATTATGACGGTGATACTTGATGAAATGATGATGAGTGATAATAATGATTGATGATTGATAGATGATGGACATACTATAATAATGGTAATGATGGTTGCGATGATGATCTTCATTGATGGTGTGGATAACAGTGATGAAGGCGGTGATCATTGATGATGTGGCTGAGTCGACTCTTGACAGGATGTTAACTTATAATCTCATAGCTGCGGAGCCTTGCTGCTATACCAACTGAGCTGAAATCCTAATCACACATAATTATAGCCCGCGTGCGTTGCAAGTTACTGTAATAAAACATAGTAAGTAGATGAGAACAAATACTGATTTATGGCCACCCGAAAGAAAGACGACGACCGCGATATGGAATCGGGCGGCTGGAGTTGGCTTCGGGTCATACTTGGAAGGAATATAAAACACATCACCGCGGGCTGGGTTAGCCAGCACATGTTAAGCTTAAAAGGGTTGCCATTTGTATAAAGGCGCTTTAATATCAAGGGGTTGCGGTTCAACACGTTCGAGATCCCAATGGCATGGCTCGGTTTGTAGTAGTTCGTGGATGGTGAAGTCAGACGCGCACACACACACGTGTCTGTAACACGTGGAGGGTACAGAACCACTCTCCACATCCAGTATGGATTAGGAACACGTGGCGTTTATGCTTTTCATTACAATATTTACATCACATGGTTTGTTTTTACTCACATCGCTATTCTAATTTTGTTGCTGTGAATTCTCATCAACATGTGGAAGACTGTTAAGGGTGTGTTGGCTCTCAGTATTTCCATGCGTTGCGTGTAGGATTGTGCTGGGTAGAATTTCCACGTCGTCTTATGAAGCTGGCGTGGTCTAATGGTGAGCACACTGGAATGTGCAAAGCCAGAGGTCACCGGTTCGATCTCCCAGCCCGGCAGTTGCAACATCGGCGGTGCACATTCACCTAAATCCCGCAGCCTCTCTCCGCCCAGCAGTATTGTACATGGGTAGAGCACGGTCGATGGGCAGGCTGTGTGTGGTGGGGTAAAGTGTGGGCACTCTCCCACCCCTTGCACGATACCTGGGACGGCGTGGGAGAGCACGGAAAATACCCTTTAGTAGCGGAGCTCTCGAACACTCCACTCGAGGCTGTTTCACCAGCGGTACTGTGAGCAGAATATCGCAGGGCTCCACCTTTATCTTTATTTATGCAAGATTGTGACAATCGTCATTTACTGCAATTCGCGGTTTAAAAATGCAGAAACTGTGACCACGTTTTAACTGGTGAAGACATCAAACTGCCTAACAACATCTTGTAACCAATCACATTAATTACAGCCCTTTACCAATCAATGTCTGGATATAAGCCTTCCCCAGCCTTTTCAGAGAGAGAGGTTATTTTACTGGTAGGAACCTCCTGGTTCCACCAGCTCACAGGGGATTATTGTGTCCGTCCGTCGTGGATCCAGAAATGGGAAGGGTGGGGCTGGGTGGGGAGGAGAGGGTGGGGAGGGTGGGGTGGGGCTGGGTGGGGTGGGGCTGGGTGGGGAGGGGTTGTGTGGAGAGGGTGGGGCTGGGTGGGGAGGGGCTGGGTGGGGAGGGGCTGGGGAGGGGCTGGGTGTGGAGGGGAGGGTGGGGCTGGGTGGGGAGGGGCTGGGTGGGGAGGGACTGGTTACCCCGTGGTGCCCTTATAATACTCAACGTTTAACCTACTCACGCCGGCTTGTGCCCGCCCTAACAGTCGGGAATATTTGCGGAATACACCACGCCGCCGTTGACCCTGCAGGCCATTGACCGAGCAACCCGACGTTCCTACCAGCTCCCTCCGCAGGACAATGTGTTACTCCCCTTCACCTCGCTGGCAGTTCGTGTTGGAGGCAATGGGCGGGTGGGTGGGATCCGAGGGCTGCTTCAGATCTCACCAGCCACTGGTGGTGTTAGCGGTTTGACTGGAAATGAAAGGGATCGTGAATAAAATAAAATATTTTTAGGACACTGTTAATGACTAATGTGCTTATGCACCACTGCCAACGCAGTATCACAAAACTATGTACTTTACACGAATCTTAATTCTGCGTATGTTCAGTTATCGGCGTGATCCGCTCCTTCTCATGGGTCTATGCATTCCGTCTTTTACCACTTTTCAGCCTTTGATCCTATGCCTTGAGTTACCCCGTAATTGCGACTTAGATTGCACGGTATTGCAAAAGTTCCCGGTGAATGTTCCTCGATTGGGATAAAATGACTCAATTGGAATCTACAGAACAATCATGGCCCCCAATTGTGAAAACGATACAGGAGCCTCCTGCCAGAGTCATGAGACAGAGAGGCGTTCCTGGGGAAATAAGCTGAATAAATAATACGATGATACAATGATAATTATTTGGATTGATTCATTTTATCTGGTGTACAACACTGTTTATTTTTGCCGTCCTTAAACTAGCTTCTTTATAAGCCTTCACCCAGCAGTGGATTGACCCTGGCTGCTGCTGCTGCTGACATGGGTAGCTGGTGTCAACCCCATACTTAATTGGTAGGCTGCTGACATGGGTAGCTGGTGTCAACCCCATACTTAATTGGTAGGCTGCTGACATGGGTAGCTGGTGTCAACCCCATACTTAATTAGTAGGCTGCTGACATGGGTAGCTGGTGTCAACCCCATACTTAATTAGTAGGCTGCTGACATGGGTAGCTGGTGTCAACCCCATACTTAATTGGTAGGCTGCTGACATGGGTAGCTGGTGTCAACCCCATACTTAATTGGTAGGCTGCTGACATGGGTAGCTGGTGTCAACCCCATACTTAATTAGTAGGCTGCTGACATGGGTAGCTGATGTCAACCCCATACTTAATTGGTAGGCTGCTGACATGGGTAGCTGGTGTCAACCCCATACTTAATTGGTAGGCTGCTGACATGGGTAGCTGGTGTCAACCCCATACTTAATTGGTAGGCTGCTGACATGGGTAACTGGTGTCAACCCCATACTTAATTGGTAGGCTGCTGACATGGGTAGCTGGTGTCAACCCCATACTTAATTGGTAGGCTGCTGACATGGGTAGCTGGTGTCAACCCCATACTTAATTGGTAGGCTGCTGACATGGGTAGCTGATGTCAACCCCATACTTAATTGGTAGGCTGCTGACATGGGTAGCTGGTGTCAACCCCATACTTAATTGGTAGGCTGCTGACATGGGTAGCTGATGTCAACCCCATACTTAATTGGTAGGCTGCTGACATGGGTAGCTGATGTCAACCCCATACTTAATTGGTAGGCTGCTGACATGGGTAGCTGATGTCAACCCCATACTTAATTGGTAGGCTGCTGACATGGGTAACTGGTGTCAACCCCATACTTAATTGGTAGGCTGCTGACATGGGTAGCTGGTGTCAACCCCATACTTAATTGGTAGGCTGCTGACATGGGTAGCTGGTGTCAACCCCATACTTAATTAGTAGGCTGCTGACATGGGTAACTGGTGTCAACCCCATACTTAATTAGTAGGGGATCACAGCTTTGGGAGTTGAATGGCTGTGAAGCCTAAGAATCTCAAAATAATCCCTTGCCGCCCCTCCACTCTCTGCACGAGGCGAAACATGCGAGTCGTGACGTCACCGCGCTTCCAACGTCATGACGTCACGCGCTACGGCGTCCGCGTCGTCGGCCTCACAGGACGCCAATACCACCTCCGTACGTAGATTTCTGACGTCATCGCGTTGAAGTGACGTCATCGCGCTGATAGAAACGTCACCGCGTTTTGATGAGCCGCCGCGTCGTGACGTCACCACGCACCGCCTGGCGCGAGGCCAGTTGCTCCCTCACTGTCAGTCGGCGCGTTTGTTTTTAATTGATATTGAGCGCAAATATAAATGAGAATTGTGAAACACAGAACGGAGTTAGTGGTCAAGGTAATCGCCCGCGTTTCGCCAAGGGCACAATACTCGCGCGAGTCGGTCGCTCTGTAAAAGCGCCTTGCTGGTGAGTAGCAATCCTAATGCTCTACTGTACGTGTGTGTGCGTACAGTGCCGTACACCATTGCTTCATTTAAATTAAACTATTTTTAATTTAACATCTTATTCCTGTGCATACGGCACGAGCCTGTTGCCTCGCTGTTATACACGACGCTTGTTAAATGGGCGTGGTTTCTGTGCATTGCTTTTAAACAACGCCGCGGTGTGTGTGTCTGTGCTTCTGCTGCGATGTGAATGGTTTGGCGAACCGGGCTTTGTTGACGTTTTATGATTTTTTTAATCTTCAACTGCTGTGTTTTATTTCAGCTTTTATCTTGAGTGTCTAAAGCCAGCCCTGAGCCTATTGAGTCGAAATTACTCACAAGTGAGGCTTTAGTATTTTACGACTTCCACTCATCCAAGTAGCGATATAATTTTAACTCGTTTATTTGTTTTGCAACTGGCGTCTGAGTTGCATTACATTTTTTAAATAAAATAATTGTAGACTACAAGTGATTTATAATTTAAACCATGAAACGGATTCACTTGTATATACACTGAACTTCATTCGCACCGTACGTAGCTAATCGGTGTTTACAAAAATGAACCCCTCAAATCGGCTGAAAGTCCTCTGAGCCAAAATGCCTCTTTAATAAATAAAGTGCGAGTTTTTAATATAATCAATACCTCAGTCTCACGCGTTGTTTAAAACTAAATTTGTATTTATTTTCGCACAGAATGCCCGAGTGTTTAATCAAATACTTAACGTATGACTGGCTATTGGTGATATTTAATGTTAAGACCTGATTTTCAATTCGCCTTGCACTTCATTCTAAAGTAGAAAAGTCTGTCCGCCACTGTGAAGATCTCCGTAATCTGACCGGCTCCTATGTAAAATTACGTACTGGTTTAAGTTCGTGTTATCGTGTTTATTCGGAAATTATCACCTATTTTATCCAGTTTCTTAATGTTATGTTTAAATGTTTGCAGTAAAAATGCCAGTTTTATATCTATAGAATGAATACTGAATATGAAAATAGTTTTACCAAAATGCAACACGTTCATTAATAAAACATTGCATGTCTATAACATTTAAAACGCTGCTTTCAGTATAGCTGACCAGTTTTGAATGGACAATTGTATTGCCTCCTGAGCCATTCTGAATACGATTTAGTTTCATGTATTTAATAGCTCATACGTTTCTGACGTGAAATTACAACATAATAATAGTTCAGGCCAGGAAACTATAACGTTCAGCACATGGCCATTGTGCCACATTTGCTCAAATGTATTTCATGATGATCTTAGACAAGAGAATCACTGCACTTTAGGGAATGCTGATGAAGGTTTGCATATGCACAGTGGTTTTTTGCACATGTCTGCATATTATGTTTGTTGTGTACTGTTATTTAACATACGTATTCATATTAGTTGTATGACGGTTATCTGGGTCACCTTTGAAAATGAGACCTTAAGTCTCAACATGTTCTCAAATAGTTTCACGAAGGATACATACGAGGGCTGAACGATTTGGGGAAAATATCTAATTGCGATTTTTCTGACAGATATTACGATTTGATTTGCGATTAAAAATGTTTAAGTCAAGCTTCAGTTCAATATTCACTGTGTAATAGATTTAAAACATGTGATGGAGCATTACCACATGATACCATCAAAATATGAATTGCTCTATATATTCTAATGCAAGAATGAGAACTTAAAAGATATGAATTGCTTCCAGCATGTATTTATTAAAATGTTTTAATTGAAATAGAACAATCAAACATAGAACAATTGTTAAGTTAAATAAAGTTATAATAATACAAAATTAAACAATTCCGATAAGAAAGTAAGAGGACTTTTGAAATCGCAAAAAATCGCAGCCTTCGCGATTTGCTAATCGCATTGTTTCAAATTGCGATTTCGATTTCAAATCGATTATAATCGTTCAGCCCTAATATATACGTGTAAGAGATACAATTGAGAAAGCATAACATGCTTAGGGGTGATGTAGTTTTTTTTACAAAAAGCAAAACTTGAACAATGCCATCTAAATAATGGTTACGTTTTAGGGTTTCAATAAGTTCAGTAATCCAGCACAATTTGTTCAGTTCAGAAGTTTTAGGTGGATTGGCACTTTGCCATAGAACCTTTTACAGAAGCAGGATATCGTTTTTGTGTCCAAGGAGCCAGTGATTTTCCACTAAGCACACACACATTTTAAATTCTGAGGATCTGATGCAACATACGCTTAGCCCTGCTCCTTTTGTGTGTTTTTTTTTTCCACGGGAGAACAAGATGCCTTTGTAGATTAGAGCGGCCGTGCCATTCACTCACATTGTAATCGTAGTTTTTTTAAAATATTGTGTTAATTTTCATTGGGATGCTTTGAGACTTTTTCAATAGGTACTTTTCTTTAATTATTGTCAATACAAGCTATTTATACATTATACGTGATTATTTTTTATGGATTATAAACATGGACATTGACAAATAAAATTATATAATTATCTGAAAAGTCCACAAAGAAGCATAGAGAATTGCACGTTTGGAATAACCGTTGAGATACAGAGAGAAGAACATGAATTGGAGATTTATTTTTCTGAAATATTAGACTTACGAGAAGGGTATTTGGCTGGTGGTCCAATCTATGCCTTGGAGGACATTAGCTGTGGAGATGGATCAATGATATCAGCTTGTGTGCAGGAGCTATATGGATTGTTGCATGAGGGATGTCAATGGCCATGGCTATCCCTCATGATCATGAATGATGACGGTGATGATGATGCATAAGAATACAGTATTTCAATTGATCTTGAATAAGAAACCACTGTGTAGTCCTGGCAGGCCAGTCTGCCATAATCACGAACACTTTGACTTTAAACCAGGGAAGAAGACATTGACACAAGAAGCTGCTATTGCAAGGGGCACATGGGTCAATACAATTGTAACTGACATTTTGTGCAGTTTGGTGTACCCCAATGAACTAATTGCACATTCCCAACACCAAATCCTCAATCAGATTATCTGAACTCTGCAAACCTATATTTGTATTATATTTCACTCTGTACCATTGTGACAGCAACCTATGATGATTGTCGGAACATTGTAATAGATAAACCACACTATCAGAGCCAGGGTTTTAAGTTCTTTATTGACCTAAATGCTTGATATAAAATAAATGTCACTCAAATTTGCTATAATTGCATCTAAATTCAATAATCTGTTCGGTCTCAACCTTTAATAAACTTTCATTTACATTTGCATAATTTTAGTCAATGTGGGCTTTGAATGGAAAAATATCAGTGGCATTATGGGCACTAAACTTCTATGGTGCAGCATTAAAACTGGTTCACAACCAGCTATCATCAGGTATGTTGTGACAACACTGCAGGGTTTCTTGCGGATAACTTTAAACACAAAAGTCTGTCAGGTTATTGGCTATGTAGCGACATCGCCGGATTCCACAATGGTGTTGGTGTAGTACCGGCCCTAGAGGGGCCTGGTGTGCGCTGAATAATAGCACTAGATGGCACCACACTTTAAGTGCAGGGCCGACCCTACAGGACAGGCTGTGTGGGTGCCGACCAAAGGATGAGGTTGTGTGAGGCCATGCCACTCTGATTGACCCGGAAGGACACGTGACCGGTTAAGTTGACAAAGGGGCCCCAAGAGGGGGCTAGGGGTGGTCACGTGATCGGGACCCAGATCCTTCCCAAGGATTCTGGAAGGTGGATGTGGCCAAGGGCGGAGCCGGCCTCGCCATAGAGAATATAAGTCGGGTCCCGGGAGTGACCAGGGTTGTTGTTCATCCTGGAAGAAACCCTTCATCTACGTTTTCCGTTCAACGAGTCTCCAATACGACGCGGGCCGAAGTCGTTGGTCCTGGTCCATAGTAACGGTTGCGTTGTAACTAGTGTAGTTAGCCTGGTGGTCACCACCTTAGCTTGTTATTCTGTTAAGGGGAAGTTACCCCGTGTGTTGAAACTGAATAAATATGTTGCCTCCATGTCTACGTCTGCGACTCAGTTGAACTCACTACAGCTACATCAACCTGTAGAGAGTCAGTACGGTCCCTGAGTTACAGGAATTAAAAAGTTTCGAGATTTAAATTCATTTACTATGCACTTAGCTCAGTTCATCATATTGCCTTTAATCGCCTTTTATGTATCTGACCTGGAGGATGAATAACACAAATGATTGCGTGCATTGCAAACAAAAAGTACCTAACTAAATTGCAAGCTTGAAAGAGTCCCATGTTTGTGAATTAAAACAAACCCACTGGACAATTTTTTCCCCAAAAATGTTTCCACAATAATACAGCTTGCTTAAGCAAGTCAACCGTTATTTAAAGCAACTCTTATGTCAACTTGGAGCATACATATTTATGCTCTGCCCTGGAAATAAAACTTGACAGGTACATCCTTTAAAATCATGCCAAAGAAGAAAATCTTAAACGAGTCCTCTTGCCTTAAGAGCCAACATAAACAGTATACATGGTTTCTGTATTATTATTGGCAGATTTTGCAATTGGAATAGCAATTTGTATGCAGACCCAACTTGCTACAGCAAAAAAAACAATTGATACTTTTGGTTTCGAATGTGTAACCATTACAAAAATGTGTACATGGTTGTATTGTTAATTAAAAACAACATATGCACACATTAATGCCACTTTATATAAAACCCGATTATGATTTAGGTTAAACCTACGAATATTTAGCCAAACAATGGAATACAGTCCACGAGGATGTGGAATGATGAAATCAGTTCGTTGGCAAGGCACAAGGTGAATTGTTAGATTGCAGGATCCAGAGGTGGCAGAAGCTTGGGGAGACCTTCATCCAACAGTGGATTAACCAGAACTGATGATGATAATCCAAACCCACATGTTAACAGTATTAAAAGTTAAATCAGCAGAAATGTTTTTATGTGGTTAGCCTAAAGCGCAATATTGAAACAACCTTAATCCAGCATAACGCATCACGTTTTCTTCGTGAAGTAAAGTCACCACATTTAAGGGGAATTAAGTGTAGCGTGTCAAAGCTTGTACCACACCCGCTGAAGTCTACATTAGTAGCATTCACAGCAGGGTGTTACACGTGTAGTGACAGACTAGAGAGACCCTATATCAGGAGGCACTCTGTTTATTTATAGCCTTCGCAGGCACAGGGAATACTACAGTGAGGTGAGGACAGCAATGGACTGCCTGACACACAACGCTGAAGACGAGGGTAAGACGATGTTGATGACGAAGACTTGACGAGACTTGACTTGATAGGACTTGACTGGCTCCAGGGGTCAACTCCAGTAACGGCCCTGAGTCCTCTCCGGGGTCCCCCTTATATCTCTTCCTTGGCTACGCCCCCTTTCTAGAACCTCCTAGAAGGTTCCCGGGCTTCTCCCGTACCCCCACCGTCACCTCCCCACATCCTTTCCTCCCGCCTACCCCCTCACCCGCTGGCCAACAGGGTTGCCATGGCAGCCGAGCTCCTTTTTGCCAGCAGCCAGTGCTACATGCCGTAGTGACCCAATCTATATCACTACATTAGCCCCCCCCTGTGAAAAAAGACAGCCGTCCCGGCTGACCTCTATACCTCACGTAGCGGTATAATAACAATAACCAACAACAACAGCCGCCATTCCACTCGCGAGTCAACACAACAACAAGAAGAAAAAAAAATTTCACGAACGCACCGTAATAACCCAACCCCCAGACTATATACAACCCCGACGACCGCTGGCATGCCACAGCCCACGAACCCAGGAACGACCCAGTTCAGCTGGTAACCACAGCCCGGCTTGTGTCTGTGACCACTTGCCCGACGGTGGCGGAATAAATAGGATGACCGGGATGGTTATTTAAACCGTACTGTTTTTGAACGGCTCCTCGTTGCTGGGCCCCCAGGCGGACAAGGGCGGGTTCTTCGGGGACCCCGGGGACAACTTGATGAAGGTGGAATTGTTCTGCTGATGCATTAATGCATCACAGAGATAATAGTGCTATACAACGGAACCCCCAAAAACCCATGCAGTAGCATTACAGATTCCAAACAAAACTAAAACTCAACAATTTCTTGAGAAGCATCCTGGCCACGTGGAAATTTATAGCAGCAGCCAAATACTCTAAATGCATGTTGATTCTAAATGTGGAGGAAACAACCGGAGTACCTAGAGAAAAATGCACACAACCACGGGGAGAACATATAAACTCTAAATAAACAGGCATCAGGGTTGGGATTAAAACCACGACCTCCTGTATACGAGGCGAGGTAGTTCACATCTCGCCACCGTGGTGCCCCAATATAGTGGTTGGTGTTGGTTGGCCAAGGGGGAACCAGTCCTGTCGACAGTCTTTTCCCCCCTTGTGTTACGAGCAGAAGCTGTTTGGAACACACCCTCAGAACTGAATGAGCTTCGTGTCAAATGGGTTCATGTTAAGCTCCCATGTGTAAACACTTACTGGGCCATGACAAGTGTATATAACAAATCATTTTCAAACAGCTGTAAAAAAATGTATATTTGAATCGCTTACTCATACACGTCTGAATGATATGTTGAAAATGTAGGTGTTGTGCAATCGGGGAGCAGTAGTATGGTGGTTAGTGCACTGCTATATAAATCCGTTGAACTGGGTTTAATGCCCAGCCATGGCTAATGTCAGTGGCAAATATCTATCCTAGTCCTGGATATCCTCTATGTCAACTCAGCCTTAAATGAGTACCAGGTTGCATTATGTAAAACATCAGCACAGGGGAGACAACAACAGCCTGGCGTGGTGCGGGCTACATCACCCCTTTGTGTGCCATGCCGGCTTTCATAGGTACTCGCTTGCAGCACTTGTTCCAACAGTCCATGTCCACTATAGGGAGTGTATTTGCCTCTTGTCTTCGTGTGGCGTTGCAACAGAGGTGTGCGGGCGGTGCGGCGACGCGCGATGGAGGCCGTGCGCAAGGAAGGAACTCCACGGTCCACGCTGCCCAAGGCCACAGCTCCTACCAGCTCTGCTTCTGAGCAAGATTCTGGATTCTCTGGTAGCTTTCCATTCCAAAATGCACGTGATGATCACTGACAAGCACATGTGGTTGTGTTTTCATTACATCTGCTTTTTTGTATAGCCTGTATAGTGATGTTAATCCCAGAACCGTTGTGATTGTATTTAATTTTTTGTTAAATTTATCCCAGGCTTCCCTTGAAAATTATATATGGTGTCTAAATGAAGTCTCACCTTTTATAATTTAATAATTTAAAGACCAGCTTTCTATCTACCTACATACTTGCATAACCGTGCACCTACCATATCGTCAGAGTACTTACGCGTAGGCCAGATTTTTTTTTTTAATAAATGCATAATTCAAACTCTTTATCTTTTTTACTTGAATTTCCTATACTGTTATGTAACTCTTTCAAAGAGCACTCGAGTGATATTCAGTCGACACTGAAATTCACGTCAAGTCCTATCGAGTGTTTCTTTTTTGTCTCTGCGAATAATAATGCACCAGTGGCTTTGCAGAGATTGCTTATGTGCTGCGACTGACCTTCAGCGACAGCCTGTGGACCCCTCGTTGCTGTGAGCGCTGCTATAAATACAACCACAAAGGGGACAGGCGTGACTGAAGCCCATTCTCTTGTCCCGCCTCTGGGACTGCACAAAAATATCCATCCATATTTCCCACAGAGCAGTAAGTGATGGGTGAACAGTGCCTTTATCACCAAGGAATCCACACTCGTGAAATTCATGTTATAGAGCATTCAGTAGAGGCTTTAAATATCCTCTATAAATAGCCTCTCCTATAAATAGCAGGTCACATGACCATTAAAAAGATTGGTTGACCAATGATTATAAATTGGTTGACCAATATTTTTAAGTGTCATGTGACCTTCTGACTGTCATTCAGAATCATGAGCCACAATTTGTCAACAAAGGGAATATAATTTGTTCATACCTCGAGAGCTATTTGTGAATACAGTGAAACTCCTCTTCTCCTCACTGATACAGGGGAAGTTTTTTGGTTAATTCAGTTATCTGTGCTTATTCCCGCATTTAACACCTCATATCCCCTCAAAGCAGCATGGACAATAATTATAATTTTTAGGGTTACTCCTTATTTTTTTCTGGCAACAAAACAGGTGTTAAGATTTCAATTTAAAGCTTTCGTGACTGCAGGGATTCATCTTCTTGGTTCTTTCGGTAAAGTCACGTAGAATGGAAATAATAAAATAATAAAAATCAAACATAATTCAATAATTCTCTTTTGTCAAGGTGCACTTCCCCCCTCCATCCCAGAATTATTTTATTATGTTTTATTTTTATTATTTTATTATTTCCATTCTACGTGACTTTACCGAAAGAGGTGTTAAGATGTTAAAACACCAAACGTTTTTCAAGGAATCATGTCTTCATTAACCACAGATACTTGTGGTGAAAATACAAACAAGAAACATGCTCTGACAATATATGCATTGTCTTTAAAACTGGAGGTCCCATGGTGTTACTCCTCTTATATTCACTTGAGCGTGAATTATTGGATGAATGTTAAACTTCGAGTCGACAACTTTTGGGTCCCTTTCAGGTCGGGTCAAACCCACGTATCGGCATTAGGGTGAATATTTCGCCAACTGCCATGATACTTCTCTTATCCGTGACAAGCCGAGGATGATACTAAAAATGTGGCACGCTTTTACGAACAGCCTTATCACCACCCACTACTGACCGGGCCAGCGCAGCACCATCACCAGTACCATCACCACCACCATCACCATCACCACCACCATCACCACCACCATCACCACCACCATTACCAGTACCATCACCACCACCATCACCACCACCATCACCACCACCAGTACCTTCACCTCTACCACTATTATTGCTGACCTTTATTGTAGGGGTGTCCCGAATTTTCTCTTCAAATATGGAATGTGGCCAGAATCTAGCCAGACATTTTACATTCAGATCTGGCCGGATGGAAAATTAATAAGTAATTCGAAGGAGGATATTTATATTGTTTGTGCAGCGCCGTAATCACATGACCACAGCAGCCAGCGGCTCTTGCGGGGTGGGGCTGGAGGACGGGGAACGGCGGTGCATCGAGAATGCTGCGGCGAACGGTAGCAGAAGTGGAGGCTGCTGTACAAGCAACAACTGCGAACCCTATGAGCACGTGGGGTCGGGATGGAAGCTGGAGAGAAACAGCAAGGAAGATATGGAGCCAGAAACAGGGATTTAGAGGATGACAGGAAGTCGGAGAGGGAGGAGGTAGATGGTGAAAGGGAAACAGAATCAGAGGTAGACAGACAGAGAGATAAAAGCGGCAGACAGAGAGTGGATACTCTGCAAGCCATCACTAGGTGATGGGGGGGCCTGGGGGGTTAAGGGCTGGGCTGGGTATCTGACTTCAAAACAGTAAGTTAAAGCGAGACATTGTGAGCGATATGAGGTGTTGAGGAGTGTAGTAAGTGGTGGCAGGGTGAGTGGTGTGGGGTCTCTGATGGGTGTAGGATGTGATTGGTGAGAGGTGCATGACGATTGCTGTGTGGTGACGAGCTACAGGGTATGTGGTGTATGACGAGGAGGGGGTGGTAGAATGAGGGATGGTAAGGTATGTGCTAGGTAAGTTGTGGGCTGGAGGGGGCAGAATTTCTTGAGATTTGCTTTCACACTCAGAAGCACAACATACCTTATGAAAATTTTCGGCAGCATAGGAAAAGTGTGATTCATTGCACAGTTAGTTTAGCGCTGTCTGGAAGTTCAATGCACTGTCTGCAGATACACGCACAGTGGGGTCATTTTGGCCTCACTTCCAGGTTACTGCTCTTATCTGCGGTAAACACATATAATAGTTAGACTAAGCAGGCATACAATAAAAAGTTCCACCCATCCATTCAAGGGCCATGGATATCAGGAAGAGTGAATAATAGTTGGGTATCTATAAAAAAATATCTATACTTTTTTATGAGTTGTTGAAGGCTTCGTGTGCATTAATATTGTACAACACATGTCCATGCTCACATGTGAATGGAAACACGTGCGCTGTTACTGATATGAGCTAAACACAACACTAAAATTGTCGTATATACCATTTATTTACTAATAAAACATTAGCTTACGTTTTTCGCAATGACAGGGGGAGATTAGAATGGCCGATTATAATTCTATTTGGTATTTGTAATAGTTCTATGCATATCGAGTTATGTACAAGTCCTGTAACTCATTAACATTATCAATTATATGTAGCCCTTTGTCAATGCATTGCTGGATAAGGACTTCCACGTGCCGTGCGGCTGTCAGGCTATTTGACTTTCACCACGCTGGTGAGAGTGGGTTGGTGAAGGCAGGGAGCACAAGCGTGGGTGCAGAGACGTGCGGTACACACAGTGGATTTCACTGCACTGCCCTGTGTTGCTCACCACGTAGCTTCACAACCTTAGGACAACCTGATTGTGTATTGTTGTCACCCACACAAGCACTATCCAGGCTCAGCCCTGCTTATCTTCTGAGAACTGACAAGATAAGACAAAAAATAAACGTTTTATTTTACCAGGTAAAGCCCGCTGAGCTTCCTAGCTCTTTTTCAGAAGCGACCTGGCCACACATCATAGCTCAACGAAGTGGCTTATCATGTGAAAATTTATAGTAGCCAAATATTCTAAACGCATGTTTCTGAATGTGGAGGGAAAAACCGGAGGACTCGGAGAAAAATCCACACGGCCACGGGGAGAGAGACACGCAAATTCCAAATATACAGGCGCCAGAATCGGACCCTCGAGCTCCTGTATACCGGGCGAGGTAGTTGACATCTCACCACAGTGGTGCCCACATGCATTTCGGATGATTTGGTCATAGGTAATTGGAATATAATTGGGTGGGTGGCAGGATTGGGGGGGCGGGTAGGGGGGGGCCATCAACTGAAAATCATTTTAATAAACCCGCGCTGCCCACCTGGTGCCTGGCAGACACGAGCTCGGAGCATCACAGCCTGGTGGAGGGCAGAGATGGAGGAGGCGTCCGCCGGCAAGGCTTGGGCAGCGGCGACGGGGCTTGTGGTGGCGTGGGAGCCAAACCCCAGGCGGTCGCGCAGTCCACCAGCACCTTCGCTCAACCTGGCCTGCACTCCTTCTACATCCTCAAGAACGTCTTCATCAACCAGGTGAAATCATCGCAAAAGCGTCTCGTGCACGGTTTGATGATTTATTGTGATTTGAGGGTCATGGTTCAGTTCACAAATGGATTGTTTTTTTTCTCTCCATATGATACAACGCATGCAGAATAAATATAGGCACAAGTTGATTTCTTCACCGATTTTATATCTGAAAAAATGCAACCTTGTGATATTGAGCAATGCCTACATCACACTTAAAAACTGGAATCACCAGTCATTATGGTGGTAGCACTTGCCAGGATTTCAATGTTGTCTGCATATTAGGCAGTGACATCTGGATAATGACACCTCCAAGTATTACCAGCGCTGGTATCAAGGTTATAGAATGTGTTACCTACTTCGATTTAAAGCTTTCGTGACTGCAGGGATTCATATTCTTGGTTCTTTCGGTAAAGTCACGTAGAAGGGAAATAATAAAAATAAAAAAATCATCATCAGGTGTGAAAACCACAGCAATTTTTCTTGCTGTGGTTTTCACACCTGATGATGATTGCTTGTGTTGCAATCGAAACGTCGTGAGAATTTTATTGTTTTATTATTATCATTTTATTATTTCCCTTCTACGTGACTTTACCGAAAGAACCAAGGTTATATAATGTGATACCTGTCAGTTCCACGCAGCCCGATTAGAATTGACATTCTCGGTTGTGTTTACTTGTGTCATTGATCTTAAGCTTCATTCTAAACTTTACATGTATAAATGTTTACACTTGCGTTCCCCCACGGTATTGAAATGGCACATCGACAGTCAGCACCAATTCCTTTCAGTCCGTAGAATGTTACAACAAGCAATTAAAGCATGCTCGGTGAGGATTTCGTTTTTTTTTCATTCATTCTGCCAGCTCACGGTGCACCATTGCAGGCTTTATAATGTTTTGCTACTGACATACAAACTATGTCTGTATTTAGCATCTCCCTTTCAAGAAATCCTCATAGGCATTGTCAACATTTTCTTGTTGGTAAAGAGCCTTATAGTAATGACATTGTTCATAGACCAGATTTGTTGTTTAAGAAGTAACTACACGTAAAAACGGGTGTGTGGGTGCCCCAGTAAGCGTCTCAGGAATGAGAGGTGAACTGCAGTAGCCCCTGAGCGCGTGTGCTGCTGTGTGATTTCCGAAGGGCAGTGGGGGTGGTGGATTCATGGCTCCCAGCCGGTCTGACAAATACCCTTTGGCTGCCCTTTACGGTCATGCGTTCAACCGCGTGTTCTGACGAGGTCTTTTTTTCTCATGCGCGTTGGGCTCACGATGAACGCTTTTAACCGGTCATTCAACCCCTGTTCAACTTTGAAACTGGGGCGTGTTAGTAAAGCAACTGTGTATAATTGTGTTTGTGTACACAACTGTGTTGTTACATTTTGCCTTGTTATTTAATTTGATACATTTTCGTAGTCGGTAGCCTTCTCTCTGCGTTTATTATGAAGACATTTTAGAAAAGTAATGTTCGAGCTGTATGTATGTTGAACTTCTTTCACACCGTACGTATCCACCCGTGCTAATCGGAGGTGTATGTCCTGCCAGTACCTGATTTCTTGCCATCTACCACTCTAATTACCCACCTACCCATAGTTCTAGGCAGGGGATTTTGTGTACAAATGGTTACATTTTCTAGAATATGAACTGTCTTACAAAATATGACGATGGTACAAGACAATGTAGGCCACTTCAAAAGTCTGCCGTAGAAAAGCACAACACAGCAGTTGCTTAGGTTTCCCCCCCAAGGGGAAAAATGCTGCATTAAAGGCATGCGTTGCATTTTGTTCATAGTTGTGGTCATGCAGTTTTCATAGAACCCTAATAATGGGCAGCAGATGAGTCACCCAACACTTTCAGAGGGATAACATTCAAACATTCGTACGCACAATGTTCGTCAGCGCCCAATTTTCTATACTGGCTTTTTTGTGGCCACCTCTTTGCCCTGCTTGTACAAGTCCCGGACACAATGATCTCTGTACTATTCACCGACCCGCCTCCCACCTGCAGAAATGATGCGTTACGTGTCCACACCAAATTTACAGTGGTACCCCGGAGATCGAACTTAATTCATTTCAGAAGGCCATTGGAACACCGATTTGTTCGAACACCGAATGAATTTTTCCCATAAGAATTAATGTAAATGACATTAATTGGTTCCAGACACAAGAAATATCTCATTATAAAGCATTTTTACACGAAGTTTACAGTAATTACATGCATAAAATCATACAAAAAACAAGAAACACAATAAATAGATGGATAAATAAATAAATATATGGAATACATGAAATAAATGAACATTGAACTTCACTTTACCTGTAGTAAGGAGAGTTGATGGCTTGAGTGGATGGTGGTGAGGAGGAGGAGGGGGTAAAACCTTTGTCTGGGCAAGCGTCATGCACGCTGGCCATACACGTCTCAGCCGTACAGGTTCTTTCAAGTCGCGATTGACCGTTCGACCTCCGAATTTCGTTCGGTTTCCGGGGCAAAAAATCTTCATAAATATTGTTCGAACACCGATTTGTTCGAGTTCTGGTGCGTTCGATCTCCGAGGTTCTACTGTACTTGCATACGGGGTGGTGCTGCATAAAAGTTATTAGCTAATACATTAGTATTAAAATCGAAATTAATGAGCCTTAACCAAACCAATGGGCAGCGTGGAAAATGTTGAGTGTAAAATGCAGCAGCGTTTTATTGTCATGAGCTCTTCCAAGCTTCTGTGTGTTAAGTTGCCCCATTATTGTGCCTATGTGTCTGGTGTCAGAAATCCACCCAAGTGCAGTGTCATGCAAATTGAGAGATACTGCAAACAACGTTGGCCTGTCGTAGGGGAACCAATAGCTGTGTTCGGCTTGGGGTGTTTACAGTTGTATGTTGACGACGTTACCAGCAGCCGTTTGCACGCACCGCACGTAGGCACTCTCATCAAAGAGCTCATACGTAGCCAATGGGCTAAACAACTCACTTGGGGAAAAAAGTAAAAAAGTTATTTTGGTTTAACAGTAACTACGAATAAAAATTATAAGCCAATCCCCGACATCGCATTAAACCCAGCTCCGTCTCAAATACTCCCAGTTCTAACTAGACTGAGCAACATTCACAAGAATGCATTCTGAATTGCAGAACTAACACACATGCTAAACACTTTAGTGTTGCAGTCTTTTCCCTTCATTAGACGAGAGCATCTGAGAATAGTTTGCAGTGATTGAAAATGGTGAAGTAAAAAATTGCAATCATATTTGAGCCTGGTAAAAATCTCAGTTTTCAAAGCAATACATTGTAAAAATTAGTTGTGAATCTTTGGAGAAGATAGCAAAATAAATAAATGCCCTCCTCCCAAATTTGTCTCTGCACATAATGAATTGGACACAGGCCTTCTGGGAAGGAGGAGACATTATTTATTCTGTTATTAACATTCCACACAACATCACTTCATGATTATTTTTTGGAAGGTAAGCATGTGAATGTAATACTTTGGGGTGACACTAATATCTACAGGAGTTTCGATTTAAAGCTTTCTTGACTGCAGCGATCTATATTCTTGGTTCTTTCGGTAAAGTCACGTGACTTTACCGAAAGAACCAAGAATATCTACAGGAGTGTTTAAGTCCACAGCAAGCCTGGTGTTTAAACAGTGAAATGTGATTTCTTGCCGAGTTTCATGTTTAGGAATACATTTACATTGTTAGTGCCAAATATTTCCTTGTAACCGAATTGCTTCAACTACAGGTACATCTTTAATAAAACATTGTGTTTTCAGCAAACTAGGCAGGTGTTTGTTATACATATTTACAATGGTTTTCACTTTGAACTTGCGCGTCTTCAACTTTAAGGTTCATATCTGTACAACTGTCGCAAATTTGTAAACTTGTTCTTCATCTTGTTAATCTGGTTTGATCTTTTTTTTATTCAACATTACCTCCCTGACTTCTTTTTTTATTTCTAGGGTGTGGCTTATTTGCGCAAAAACCTTCCAACATAAAACTCTTTTTAACTACCGAGATTGTGGAGATGTGTGAATGTCAGACTACACTTTGCCAAAAACATGACCTGCTGTCTTTTACTGACCCCACTTTTCCCGACTCTGTCCCTTCCACCCCCCCCCTCCTTGACCCCATGCCTCTCTCTCTGGTTCATGTACGGCCTTGCCATGAGCAGCCCTTGTGCATGACCTCTGACCCCCAAGTGATGCACGCACAGCTGAAAGCCTGGAGTGGCGATCACTCTCAGATCCTTCTGGTCCCAGGGCCGCCGCTGGCCACACCTCATGAGCAGCAGCCGCTGCCACCCTCGCCCTCCTCCCAACCGAAGCCATGCGCCTACCAGCCGCAGGCCAAGACGAGCGGCTACCTGCCCATCTTCAACTCGTACCAGCGCATTGCGCCGAGACCCGGCAAGGCGGAGGGCGCCGCTCCCGAGTCAGTAGTGCCACCGTCTCCGCTATCGCCGCTGCTACCGTCGGGGTCGCCTCCTCCTCCTCCTCCTCAGAGTCGTGTGGACGGGGGGCCGTGGAGCGGCAAGCGCCCGCAGTTCGCGAACGGTGAGGGAGCCCGAGCTTTTGTCGCGTCAGTAGCTGGTGCTGCAAGCCCGATGCCACCGCAGCAGCAGCAGCAGCGGAGCAAAAAAAAAGGAAGCGTTGTGACGATGCGTGATACGCAGCTCACGCCTCGGAGTAAGCACCAGCATGCAGCGCAGCAGGAGCAGCATCAGAGGCATCGGCAGAAGCACAGCCGCAGCCGCCATCGCCACAGGCACATGAAGAAGGTGTCACACAGGGACCGCACGCCGCTGAGTCAGCAGTTTACCACACTTGTATCGCTCCTCAATTCAGCGGGGCCATCCATCCCGATTGCTCCACTTGCAGAGCCTCAGGGGGCAGCGCTTGGCACGGCCGGAGCTGCGGGAGTTGCGGGAGCGCCAGAGGAGGTGGCGGTGGCGGTGGCGGCAACGGCGGTGTCGGCAGCGACGCCCCCGCCCAGTGCGGCGTTTCCTCCCCGCTCACCCGCGGTGTCGCCCCCGTGCTCGCCGGCCCCGTGCAAGCTAGTGGCGGACGCCCCGCTGCTTCCAGCAGCGATGGTTCCACTCATCGCACCCTGTGTGCCGGTTCCGGTGCTCTGCGAGGATGAGCTTCAGACGATGGACTTCCTCGATGAGGTGCTGCCCCTCGGGCCTGAGGGCATGGGGGCAGCAGCAGCAGCAGGCGGCCACGCGCACGGTAGGGCCCATGACTCGCTCACCCACCCACCCACTCACTCACTCGTGCGCTTGGAGCACTTACCCACAAACACTCGCATTCTTTATTTGGCCCCCTTGAGGATGTACATTTGTTCGTGCTAATATGGTGTCTACATAGTTGTCATTCGTCCTTGTCTGTAAACCCACAGTACCTCAGTGTCCCCCTCCTGTCATACAACTTTTACCACCTTCTTGGCCTCAAATCGTACCTTGCCTCCTGCCAAATTGTGGTAGTTTTTGTTAGTATCCCCCTGTCTCGGAGTGCACGTCAGTGGCAACCATCATCTGAACCTGTTCCAGGCCCTGGCAACGTTTGAAGATTAGCACTGAGGCTTTCAGGTGTGCTGCTGTCTGCATCACCCCCTTCTGTGCTGTGCTGACTAACAGAATTTGGTACCCGCAATCTCTAACGCAAATGGAAGGTGTTACAGTGTGCAACGCCCTGTTAGGTGCTTTGTGTTAACAAGCACAGGAAGATGTAGCGTATCTTAATAGGTACTCACAATCAGCATTTGAACCTTGCTTAAAACTACATTTTCCACATCTATTTTCTCTATATGTTCAATATCACCTGTGGTGAACCCAATCTTGTCATATTTGAGAAGTTAAGCAGATGGAACCTGGATAGTGCAGAGGGCATTGTGTCAAAATCCATCGGTCTGCACTCCCTCCACCTTCTCCAACCCCACACTCATCAGCGTGGTGAAGTATGGTCGCATATGCACCACAGACATGGGGAGGCCCTCATCCTGGAGTGGATTGACAACAGGCTGTATGTATGTACGTGTGTTTTTGTCAAGCAATGGCTATTTCTCAGGTTGTGAACCTCTCAACGGTTTCGGGCTCCTCGTTGTTGTGTGCCCTGCTCGAGGTTTTGTCTGCAAGCCGTGAGCCCAGCACGCGGCACCGAGCGTGTGAGATGAGGGGGGGGGGCAGTGTTATCGGCATCTGGGAGAGGGAATCGGCGTAATCACTCGGCGAGGGGTGAAGTCATCCAGTCTGCTGACGCTGGCACAGAGACTGCAACCTTTGTACACGTGCTGTGTGAATGACAGGAGTGCTAAGTTCGCGTTTTTCAGTAGTAAGATAAACCGCTAACAAACATTGGTCAGCCCCAGTATCAGACATCCCACTACGACCTGTAGCTTAACACCAAGGATCAGAATTATTGAGGCCAAGGGTGGGTTTATATTTATGCGATGGTCTCTTGAGTTTGGGTGAAGAGACGTCATAAAAAATAAAAGCTCATGGTAATGGTAATTTTTTTCGTGAAAGCTAAGCAGGTGATGGTGTGAAAGTCACGAATCCTTCAGTGAGTCACCCTGTAGTTGCAAATGTATAATTGGATTGGGTGTTTAATGGTCGTGATGATGGAGGACCGGCCTTGGGTTTGTAATTGTGTCCCTGTTATGTGTGCAAAAAGGTTTTATTCATCTCTATATGATACGAAATCGAGTGGCATGGGAGATTAAGGACAGCGCATATGGCTTCACAGTGCACGGTCGACTTAATACCCTACAGTGGCTCGATCATGGTGACTGGGACAAACTGTGACACTGCGAACATCAGTGCCTTGCTTTTTTATTCGAAACCAGATGGAAAGATTCCTATCATCGGGACTGAATAGGGCCCAATATTGGAATATGCGTCAAATGATAAGTAGCGTGGTTATAAATAAAGATGGAAAGAGAGGTGGTGCTGGGGGCGGATGCTGTGCACGTGTTGGATCACAGGGCCAGCACCGCGTAGGTTCATGGGTTCACGTGTTGATCACAGGGCCAGCACCACGTAGGTTCATGGGTTCACGTGTTGATCACAGGGCCAGCACCACGTATGTTCATGGGTTCACGTGTTGATCACAGGGCCAGCACCACGTATGTTCATGGGTTCACGTGTTGATCACAGGGCCAGCAGCACGTAGGTTCATGGGTTCACGTGTTGATCACAGGGCTAGCACCGCGTAGGTTCATGGGTTCACGTGTTGATCACAGGGCTAGCACCGCGTGTTGTGCAGCCGCTCAGGATTCAGCCAGTTTTCGCAAGTTTGATTATGTGAAGCCATAAAAAAAATCGTAAACGTGTGCTTTGGGTTTTGATTCAGTTAGCCTCGTGTTGAGACATCCTTTGTGTATAGGGCACCATGGCGACGAGATGTTATCTCCCTGGCTTGGTATGCAGTAGGTTGTGGGTTTGAGCCCGACCCTGACACCTGTATATTTAGAGTTTGGCACGCCTCCCTCCGTCGTCATGTGAATTTTTCTCGAGGTCCTCCGGTTTTTCCCTCGACATTCAGAAACACGTGTTTAAATTATTTAGATTTTACACATTTCCACATGATGAGCCACTTCCTTGAGTTATCATTTTTAAAAGAGCAAATAGCTCTGTGGGCTTTACCTGGTAAATAGAATAGTAAATAAAAATATATAACTTCATTAATAATAATACATTTATAATTAATAACAGTCCTTTTTTCTTCTTCTTGGTTCTTTCGGTAAAGTCACGTAGAAGGGAAGTAATAAAATAATAAAAATATTATTAATAAAATAATAAAAATAGAATTATTTTATTACTTCCCTTCTATGTGACTTTACCGAAAGAACCAAGAAGATGAATCCCTGCAGTCACGAAAGCTTTAAATCGAAACAGTCCTTTATCAGCCATCCACTCCTGGATGAACGTCCCCCTGCACTGTTTTGATCATGGGGGGTCGTTTGACCATACTTCACCATGACGGTCAGTGCAGGGTTGTTCACGTGGGGGCGAGCCAGTCCACTTTCGCTGTGCCCAGGATTTGAACTCGGGGTCACGGAGCTCCTGCTTAGAGCCACTGCTCCGCTTTGTATTCTAAACAGCAAGCGTTGAATGCGCCTGCACAAGTAAAGAGCACGCAGTTTTGTGATTGTGTGAGAGAGACCGTTAAGTCGATGCACTGCGCAGGCTCGAGATATCATGTTCAGGTTATTGCGCAATGTCTGTAGGGAGATTAGCAGTGTAAATGCTTTCAACACATGCTTGATTACCAATAGCTCTGTTGGGATATAGCTGGTGAAATCATTAAAACAATAATTGTGCTGTGGCCCCAGTAGGTTGAAAGTAGTTATAAAAATAAACACGCAAGGTATTGGCTTCCTCGCCAAAATAAAATAAAATTTCCCTCGTCCACTAAGCTTTCTGGACCCCGAGTTTTAAGAAATCCCACTGGGATGCTTGAATAATGTAATTTATTTACAAGAAAAAGCATCAGTTTGTATGAAGGCTCTATGGGATGTTTAGCCGGTTCTTGTTTAATGATTATTTTGCTTGTGGGAGGAAACTTGAGCGTTTGAAGAAAACCCATTCATGCCAAAGTCCACACAGACAGGTTCTCTAATTCGCTTGTTCTGTACTGTCAACCGACCACCTCGCAACACAAATGCTTGAGTAGTCCACCCATCCCTTGATTCCAAAGCGCTGGACTAGAGGTTTGTGCCACAAGTATTCCAAGCATTCACTATTTGTTGTAATCTGTATAGTAAAAAAGATACTGCCTGCTTATGTATCATAAAGAAATGCTGTAGAAATATATCTGTGATGTACTGTATTTTCCGGCTTTACACATCAGATAGCTATACAGTACAGCACAACCACGTATGTACGTTCAACTTCTTTTGCACCGTACGTAGCCAACCGCACTAATCCGAGGTGCGACGTGAACCTACATGGCAGTAATGACGTGCTGCCCGTGCTCTCAATGACTCAGGAGGGGAGGAGCAGAGTCGAGGGAGGAACGGATCGGGGGATGCCGACCAGGGCGGCGGCGGCGGCAGCAGCGACGGCTTCTCCGCCGGAGGCCACGAGCAGCGCTTCCACAACACGGTGTCCATTCTGAGCCGCTCGGGGCTCCTCGACATCACGATGCGCACCAAGGACCTGCTGCAGCGCAACGGGCAGGCGCAGCGCGAGCTCGAGCACCTGCGTCAGCTGGCGCGCCTCTTCTGCAGGGCGGCCCGCTCGCCCGAGCCCTCCGCCTGGGACAGCCTGCAGGAGGCGATGGGCGCGCTCGGCGGCAGCGCCGAACCGGCCGCCGCCTCCGCCTCGTCGTCGTTGTCTTCATCTTCCTCGTCGTCGTTGTCGTCCATCGCGGAGATCGGAGGGCCCGGCTCGCAGGACACTGGACTTGTGGGATGTGATGACGGCGGTGGCGGCGGTGGTAATGTTGGAGAGGCCTGCTTGCCGTGGGCTGCATTGACGGATGCGTCGTGCCAAGGCAGCATCGGTGTTGTCACTTCCTGGGCAGCGTGATCGCCTTCTGTCTCGCTCGCACCGGCTGATGTGGGGTTGGCAGACAATGCACAGCACTTGTACGGCTCTCGAAAAAAATGTCCCGTCCCGTTTGACATTGATAAGAGGAATTTGGGTAGGACGGGAGGCATGTTTCTGCAATGACTGTGAAAAGAGCACTATTGTACAAGCACAAGCAACCTGATTAAAATGTAGCCCAGGAGTTTAGTTGAAGGCAGAGGGGACCCGGTCATGTAACGTACAACAAGGTAGGTGCTCACGGATGTGCTGATTGACGGGATTCAGCTGATTGAACAAGGTGCGAGGTGCACATTTAAGACGTGCAATACATTGTCTTAAATTAACATTCTCTTAATGTGTCTGTGTGATGTTAGATTTGTTGTGAAGGGTGTATTTGTCCTCGAGTTTTATGTTTGTCTTTCTGAGCCAGATTTTGGGCCGTACTTGAAAGAGAGCCTCTTTGTTGTTATTATTATTACACGTTATTTATTCCCCCCTCGAAGCCCCTCGTCTTTGTATTATTTTTTATTTGGTCACTGGCGCATTCGAACAAAAGATGAATAGCCGTCAAGGGAGCGTGGTAGAGCTCACGTGTGGAATCGCTCGAAGAAGCCGGAAAAGAAACGCATGGTTTGGAGAACAAACAAGAGCCTGGGACGTTGCTCCTCCTCCGGCTTTGAGAAAAGTGCTTTGAGCAGCAGCACTCATCCACTGGAAGAGATGGCAAATAATGAATAGAACTAGTGACAAAGCACTGAACCAAGGGGGCAGATGGAGCAAGATGTGGATGCGGAACGATTGTTGATTCAAAGCTGTAAAGTTGATTTATCACAGTGAAAAACTGAGAAAATTACTAACGAGTTAAAATAACAAAGATGAAATTAGTAAAACAATTCCACGTGGAGGCATGCACCGTTGTTTTACAATGCTCCATGTGCTGAGATATGTGCAATGGCGAAACGATGTTAATCTTGCAAATCAGATGTTAATCACGTAACCCTATTAACGGACATTGCCGAAGTTATTTTAAATGCTCACTCGCACGCACAAACACAAAAATAACTAACACGTTAACATGGCCTCATTGGTTTTTTCACTTTTAAGTCCTACCTTTTGCCTAATGTCAACATCTCCCTGCTATTTAACACATTTACAGCACTTTGTTCTGTGACATTGACACGTTTGATCATGGGTTTGCCATTCAAATGAACCACGATTGCACTCACATGCCGATACCTTCCTTGTAAATGTGCTTTCTCGGGCAAAGCCGTTTTGTCTCCCCGACACGTGGTGGGCGTGTGACGGTGAGCTGCGAGGAGACGCTCGAGAGTGGCCGCCTGCCGTCGCAAGTAAAAGCGCAATCGAGTATCAGTATCCTGCACGTACGTTGCTTGTATGTGACGCCAGAAAAGTATTATGAAAAATGTCCAGAGAGACGATATATTGATGCTACATGAACCCAAATGATATCGTAACAAAATGTCGAAGTTGACTTACCTTCGCAGAGATTGTGTATTTATGTGTACGTCTGTCGTGTGTATTGCTTCGGCTGGATGTATTCCCCGTTTCCAAGTTTACTCCGGTCAAATACATCTTCCCGTGTTAAGTTTGTGTCGAACATAAAAGTTGAATGTCGTATTAAAGGTGCCTCGTGGTTTGTACACGTGGAATCACTTTCGCCTTGCTGTGTCGGGTATATTTTTTATTTTCTAAAATCTATGAGCGTGACCTCTCCGCACATGGCATACTTTCCACATTCGTTGCTGCCTTTTCACCAATGATTAACAGAAGGAAACCAGGGATCATGATATTTGTGCTTTAACTGCAGCGTATCTTAGGTGATGATAATCACAATAATTTATTTTATTAACCTGGGAGTAGTGCGGTGAGTGCACCGCTCTCTGAACCCAGCGACCTGAGTTTGGTTTCCAGCAACGTCGGTGGCAATGGTGTCTGAACCAGCCCCACGCTGGCCCGCGTGGTCTGACATCCCCCGCGACCGACGTGGCCTTCGTCCAGCACTGCATTGACCAAGTCACGGTGAGATGCCTCTTGATCCAGGAAATGTTCACAACGTCGCAGGGCAGTGTTTTCAAGAGCAACCCATTGGGCAAACTTCTTAACAAACATCTTACACGTGGTGAAAAACAACAACATCCGTGCCGCATAGCGCAATGTACACGTGCGAGGGGACGACGATTGTCACTTAGGGGCCGTCCATAAATGACGTCACGCACCTAGCGGGGGAGTTTGAGAAATCTGACGTCACATCAAAATGCGCAACTTTAAATAAATATAGACAACACGTTCTACTTAATTAAATAGACTTTTTCATAAATGTTTTCTCCAACATCAGAGTACAGCGCCACATTAAATACGCACTACAATGAAAATAGTTTAAAGCGATTTGAAGCATATTTTATATTTTTTTATGGGTGGGGGGGGGGGCAGAGCTTTGTGACGTCATATTTGAGGGGGGGTCTGACTTTTTGTGACGCCGTGTGACAATGAGGGGGGGGGGGGGTCAAAAATCGTCCAAAATCGCGTGACGTCATTTATGGACGGCCCCTTCACACGGAAAAGGAGATAAGCCGACTTGAGACCCTTCACGTGACCACCAGCAGACAGCTCTTGCCATTGAAGGTGGAGGGGATGCTCCGCGCATTGCAGCTGCGAGGCCCACAAACGGACGCCGGATCATCAGGGCGCGTGCCACCACCACACCCAGCCGCTCGATGGATCCCTCGCACCATTCACGCATTGCATGCGCATCAATATGTTCGTGATCGTCATCGGATCAATCCGCTGTTGAGTGAAGGCTATACCTTGCGATCGTGCCATGCAACCGTCCGCCAAGCAGCTGCACGACAGCTCATTTCCGTCGCTCCATCTCCATGATGGACGTCTCTCCGAGGTTTTATATCTCTTGGCTGCCACTCTGTAATTTTTCCTGACCCTCGGCCACATCATTCCTTCTCGCGACGTGTTCTGCCCAAGGCCACTTACTTTTCTTAACAGTTTGCATGTCGTCTCTGTCCTGCGTGTGCTCTGCAATGTTCGTGTTTCTACTCTGTCGTGTAATTACAAGAAGCGCGTCATGCTTGTGTGTGTGCACTGTTTCAATTAACTTTCATTTTCCTCATGACTTGACCGCATGTATGATGCGTTCGTCATGAATGTTTCCTTCCAGGGCAGCTGTTGAAATCGAAGCGGAAACAAAACGATTTACTAAAGAGGTTCACGAAAGCGGGTTGGAGTCTTTTTGAAAGCCACTAAAAGTAACAGACCAGTGAGCGCAAATAGTACGATATGTAATCAATACTTGTGAACACATTTATGAATACTGAATATGCATTGAAGTTATCCGCAGGTTCTGTAGAGAATCTCTCCCAGTACCCTTTAGAGCACTGGGGGTGCTCAGTCGCGTTGGCCGTTCTGCGCCAGTCGCCGTGATCATGCCGGATGATCTCCACTGGGCCCGAGCCACTCGCTCTTCTTCATCAACCACCATCACCGCTATTGCTGCCTTCCCGGCGAGCTGCGGCAGCCTCACCAGGCGGTGCGCATACCCCCAATTGTGCTGATTTGGTTGACCGGTTGTGATTACACTCGCTCATGGGTCCAGAGTTCGCGGGGCCAAATCCACCCCCCTGCTCCCTTGATAATGCCGGCGGTGCGGGGCGAGCGTTGATCCTGCAACCCCTTCTCGCTCCCTCCCTCCCTCAAATGCTGCACGCTTAGGGATGTGTGGCGTGCCGTTTGGGCATCCCTCCGAGACACGAAACACCCCCCCGCGTGACTGACGGAGCGCGTGGTGACGTGGCCCGCGCGCGGCACACGTGGCCCCGTGAGCACCCGTGTGTGCGTGGAGTCTGCACGGGCACCACGTGGGTCCGTGGGCACCCGTGTGTGCGTGGAGTCTGCACGGGCACCACGTGGCCCCGTGAGCACCCGTGTGTGCGTGGAGCCAGCACGGGCACCACGGGCCTTGTCTGAGCGCCGTGTGCTGTTCCTCCCCTCCTCAAAGGCACGCCGTGCGTGCGGTTGGGGTCATGTTGCCCCAGACGCCGCTGCTGCTGCCGCTGCTGCTGCAGGTGTGACTCATTCACTGCTGTCACCGAAGGCTCGCGTTAAGATACATGGATGGTGTGCGGTTTGCAGTCAGCGATGCGAGAGGCATTACCCGCTCAGCAAGCGCGATTGTCCGAGCTAATTAAGCGCACGAGCAGAGTTATTGTGCAGAACTTTGTCTCATTTACTGTAATTGCCGGAGCCTTCATTTATTTAATTTCCTTGCCGTTTGAGATATATTAAAGCGGACTGATCTTCCTTCCCTCGCGTACATTAAGGGGCTTGCCCGGCAGGAGCTGGCGGTGAACGAGCGCAACCGGCGCGCGAGTGGCGTCCGCCGGGGACGCGCGCCATGCGGGAGGGAGGGCTCCCCAGCGGCGCGAGGCGCCAAACGTGAACGGGTGCTGCTCTTTTATGGAGGTTGTGGAAACGTTTTGCGTTGCGCTCTTCCTATGGGAATCTTCATCATCATCATCATCACGATCCGTAGGTGTCCACTGCACATTGCGTCTTGTTGTGTCCACGTTCCTCTCTCTTGCAGTGCCACTGTTCTCAAGCCGTGGCCACATCTTGCTTGCACCGATCCCTGAGGTCGTCGTCGTCAAGCCAATATCTGATAGACCTTCCTCTCTTTCCTGTTCCTTCCATTTTTCCGAACAACAACAACGCACGTTTCACTTTCTTGCTGCCCATGCGAATAGAACGACAAATGCTGCCGCGGTGCCATGGTCAGCGCGCTGGACTTTCAAGGCAGAGGTCGCCGGTTCGATCTTCCGGCTCGGCAGTAAGAAGGAATGGTGCAAGTTTATTACCACCCCGCCTCTCTCCACCCTGAAATCTGTCTACTGGACATCTGTGGGGAAGGGCTTCATAGCTCATCGGATTTCTCCAGGATAAATAAAGATTCCTGTTTTGCAGTGTGTGATAGGGTGCATTGAAGATACACCCATCTCATTCAAGACATCTGGCCAGCATGGAAGAGTAGGCCAAATATCTTCAAGTGGAGACCTGCCAGCATTAGTGTGAGCGAGTAATTGCAGGGCTGCACCGTTACCTTTTATAGAGGAAAGGACAGAAAACCAAACATAATCGCCTTCTTTGTCACTGCTACGAGTCACTAGAATCAGTGACAGACTAGAAAACAAATAGTAGGTCACAATATCGGCCAAAGGCTTTTACTACGCTGATGTAAAAAACATCGCATGAAACATGAGCGGAATCCTGTGTGTGCGTTTACGTTTCGGTTCACGCGGCTCGGTGATGAAGGTGGTGATTATATTCGCGTTGGAAGCAGCTCTTGTGTTGCAGTGGGAAGAGGCACGGGAGGCAGGCCAGAGAGATGGGAATGCAGACAATGAAATTGTGAACTGGACGAGGAGGCGCGTGCAGGTGGACAAGGTGGAGGGGAGAGCTGAGCGGCGCTGCTGGGCAGCAACGCGACACTTGTTCACGGGGCTGTAATGAACAGAGGGCTTTGCTCGGGCAACTGGTACAATGTGCATGGCATTGCGAGCAAGGCCCCTGAGATCGTAGATGAACCAGCGGCGTCACGAGCGAGGGACAGGGGTGCCCCCCCCCCAAAGCTACGAGGTGGGCCCCCCTTGACGAGCACCACGAGATGTGTTCTCAGTCGCAGTGTTGGGGCCCCAGCTGACCGATTGCCGCACCGCCACAGCTGATGATGTCGCTACTCCGCCACGGAGATGAATGCGTCTCAATGGCATTTTACTAAATGCCAACAATGGACCGTGTATGTGTGCTGCACTGTTTAGCACCGCACATAGCCGACCGTGCTAATCGGAGATGCGGGGGGGGGGGAAGGTCAACGAACTAAAAGCAATGAAGCCGTTCTAGAGCAATTATTGTTATTACTCATTCAGTGTTTACTGTAACAGGGACGCGTTCCGTGAAAGTGATAGTGCAGTGATAGCGGCAATCCGCGATGTCGCGGACGAACGGTCGCCTGCTTCACCATACTTCACCATACTTCACCATACGTCACCACACTTCACCATACTTCACCATACTTCACCATACGTCACCACACTTCACCATACTTCTCCATATTTCACCATACTTCACCATACGTCACCACACTTCACCATACTTCTCCATATTTCACCATACTTCACCATACGTCACCACACTTCACCATACGTCACCACACTTCACCATACCCCGCACCGCAGGAGCACGCGGAATCCGCCGGCCCAGGGCGCCCGGCTAATTGGCAGGTCGCGACCCCCCCCCCGCACCCCCCCCCCCGCACCCCCCCCGCACCCCCCCCCCCGCACCCCCCCCCCCCGCACCCCCCCCCCGCACCCCCCCCCCCGCACCGCGCGATTCGCCGCGGAGTCTGCGGGGCATCTGAGACGCGTGCGGCTTGATTGGAGGCGACGGGGCAGGAGGCTTGAGCAGCAACATCTGCAATGCGTCACCACCGCCGATACCCCAACACCCCCTTCTGCAACAAAGAGCAACAACAAAGATCCCACGTGTAGCCTGAACAAGACTTGGGAGGGTGGGGGGGGGCTGTTCGCGAGTAGCAGCATCTACGAAGTCCGACACGGCAC